GCTTAAAGTTAGTATTTACAAGGAACAGGCGGTTATCTGAGCATAGCTGCAACAGACGGTCGCCGTTATCTGTTCTTTGAGCCACGACACCATAAGATCCACCTAGGTGTCTTTCCTTATCGCTTAGTTTACCTACTTGAGCATTAAAGTCACCGGCCACTATTACTACATCCGAGCGCTTAGCTTTTCGGAGAAGGTCCGAAAGCTTTCTGTAAAACTCATCTTTTACATCATCTGAGCTGCAGTCAGTGGGAGAATAGGCAGAGACGACGAAGAGGCAACGACGAGTGTCCCTATCTTTCCGGATTCTTACTGTTCCGTTCAGTCGGACAGCGCACAAACGACCGTCTACTGGGATCCACTCTAAGAGAGCTAGTTCTGCTCTGGGACTCAATGCTATACCTACGCCGGCGAGGCCACGGGAAGCAGAATCAGGGCTTCCAGATACACGAAGCGTAAATCGAGTCGGTTCTTTATTTTGGCATGGTGAGGTCAAATGAATGATGCTACTTGGATTCTGTATGCGCGTTTCGGAGACGCAACACACATCGATGGCGTAAGATTCTAAAGTCCTAGCTAAGGAAGCCTGCTATCCTATTTGGCACAGTGTTCGTACGTTAAAAGCTCCTACGTGTAGTTTAGAGCGTGGTTTCAGGAGACCAGGAATAGCGTTCCACGTACTCAAATCGTTTGCCCTAGCGGTGCGAGGTGATAAAGAGACGTGAGGAGGGTTAGTCATGGAGATAAGAGAGGTATTAGGAGGTGTAGGAAGGATTTGAATGTGACCAACTTGGTCTCGCGTGCTGTTACGGGTATGAGGGCTGATGTCACTTCCCGGCTGCCCACACCGTGGAAGGGTATTTCTTGAGGAACCTGAAAAGGAAATTGGATTAGTGTTGGTCTTAACGACCTGGGAGCGTGACCGCAGAGCCCAAGGGACAACTGCTTGAGGCCGGTCGCGCACGGCCTTTTTGTAGAAGGTTTTTAACGTGTTAGCTCCGTTCTTCAGTTGGCCTTACCGCCGGAGACGGAAATCCGTGAGGTAAGGTGAGGTGTGACATTTTTAGGGTCGACCTTTTCTAACCCCACCCCTCCTTGTGGGAAGGCAGCATCGCTGTCATGCTGATTGTCCGAAGGAAACACCTTACTGCTGTCACACCTCTGTACAGTCAGCAGTACGACTTCGCCCTCAGACTTTGAGTTGCTGCTTTTAGTCTTACCGTTCACCAATCGACCTGCCTGGCATGGTAGAACCTACAGGAACATATGTTCCAGCCAATATAGCTCGGATGGATCATCACGATAGGCAAGCCCGACCACCACGTCAAGGTAGCAGCTTCGGTCGGGTGTGGTATGGCAACTCGAACTGATGTACGTACGTACAAAGTTCTACGTTGTTACTGACTGAGTGACTTCCTGAAGAAAACAAATGCTATAGCATTGGTAACTAAGCTTCTATTAAGTTTAAAAGTTTTGGTGGAATCAGTGATACTGCTAAGACTGAAGTTTGTATTACTGATGGTTGGAGACCCTTGGTGACATGGCTCAGAATCGATCACAATGGTGTCGGTGTATACACTCTCTGTCTTCCCTTAAAATAAGAGATTAAAATCGCTTCATATCTTTCTTTCTACGAACTAATTCTTTCTTCCTATACTATATCCTTATTGCAATCTTTCTTTTATATATTCCCACCTCTGAATTAACTACTTTTATGAATCCGTTGTCCATCTTGTTGTGTTAATGAGGTGTGGCAACTTGGACCGATGTATATATGTGCCTGGTCCTACGTTGCAGCTGACCGACTGTATTACCGAGATTTTGTTGCAAAGTAGTCAGCATCTGTATCAGTGATATGAACTGCTCCTTAAAATGTTCCGACCATCGTTCTAAATGTCTAGGCTGAGAGCAGATAAGAGTGTTGTCATTTTCCGAGATCGACTCACTTACACTTGATTTCTTAATTCCAGTTTCTTTTATTGGTTGGAAAAGCTGTCTTGTGTTACCGACAGTCGCTGACTTTTCCATCTCTTTTACTTTCGTTGCCCTGATTCATTTTCGTTCTTTATTGTGTCCGGAGTCGGATGAGATGAGTTTATGAGTATCTATTAGGGCAATAGACTTAGAAGAAATCCACTGGTTTTTCGTAACCATTTGGTTCAAATCACTAGTAGATGTCACTGCTCTTTCCGCAGCTATTTCTATATCCTTCCAAGCAACATCTGGGTCAGCCTTGTTTTCAGAACTACCTAAGTGTGACTTCAGTTGTTGCTGGAATCTGCTTCTGACTTCCGCGTCACTGAGTTCAACTCTGTTTTAGTCTTCTTAATGTAGCTTTCCTGAGTTCAGTGAGGTGCAAGTAAATGTGTGCTTGTATCATAGCATGATCTGAGTCCAAAAATGTATTCCAGAAAGAGCGATAGTCTTCTATCGAGCCTCTTCAACATGAATGATGGCAATATGGTCTATTTGAGTCCATCGTTTGTTTGGTGCAGAAAATCGCCTTGTTAGACGATGTCTCTGCTTATGCTTAAAATTAGTGCTTGTTAAAAATAAACGATTATCTGAGCAAAGTTGCAGCAAATGATCACCATTATCTGTTTGCTGATCCGAGATTCTAAATACCCACTTAAATGTCTTTCTGTTTGGTTTCAGCTACCTAATTGGGCATTAAAGCCACCTGCTACGAGCACTATGTCCGAGGGTTTAGCTTTCTGAAGAAATCCAGAGAGTGTTCTGTGAAATTCATCTTTCACTTCACCCGAGCTACAGTCAATGGGAGCGTAGGCAGAAATAACAAAAAGGCAACGACGTGTGTCCCTATTTTTCCGAATTCTTACGGAACCATTTAGCCGAACGGCACATAAACGACTGTTAACGGGAATCCATTTTAAAAGTGCTTGTTCTGCCCTCATACTTAGTGCTATGCCTACAACTGCCAGTCCACGAGAACTAGCCATCAGGTTGTCAGATACATGGAGGGTGTAACTCGTCGGCCCCACATTTTGGCGAGGTGATGTCAAGTTAATAACCACACTGGGATCCTGTGTACGTGTTTCGGAGACACAGCATACACCAATGGTACGAGATTCTAGGGTTTTAGTAAAGGAGGCCTGCTGGTCGATTTGACATAGAGTCAGTACGTTTATGGCTTCAATGTGTATTTTGTAGCGAAGTTTCAGTAGACCTGAGAGTGTTTCGCGCACCATAATCGTCGGCCAGGGTGAAACTTAGTGAGGAAGTTTAGAGTTGAAAGTCGATATAGGTAGAATAATAGAAATTGAAGAAGGAAATTGATTATGAATACAGTGATCTTAAATGCTAGAGGTACGAGGGCGGTCATCAATCCTCGGTTGCCCATACCCTGGAAGGGTTATCTAGAGGTACCTGAAAAGGAAATTAGGTTAGGGGTGGTCTTAGTGACCTGAGAGTGTGGCCGCAGTGCACAAGTGACAACTACTTGAGGCCGGCCACACACAACCTTTTTGTGAGAAATTTTCGCGTTACCTCCGTTCTTATTGGGACCTTACCGTCGGAGACGGACATCTATGGGATAAGGCGAGGTGTTACAATTTGGACACGCGGGCAGTATCACAGCCCTCATACAAATCAATGACAACTGTATAGCGTATATGTATTTGGTGACCTCTTGTAACTGTTTGTGTTCAAATAAAACGCAGTGATACCAAGTAAGTCGTCGTCACTGTGACCGAACACACATGCCGAACATCCTCATTATTAACATGGTGCTGTCACTAAATGTTAGCTATCTTTCAGAGACAATGAAGGGTGATTTATTTTGACTCATTTAATTGTTTTCTTGATCTGATTCTCACTTCATCTATCTCTTCAAGAATTCTCTCCCTTGTTTGTATAGTGTATTACTATTTTGATACCCCTTTATCTCAGTATTTATTTGTTCAGATAAGTAAACAAGTGTTGTGTGGATAGTGTGAGCTAATATGAACATTTTCTTCATTAGTAATCATCATCATGGTTTCGTCTGGTTCGGGATACTACCTGGGTAACCAAAGTTGAACAGATACCCTTTTCCGGATGACACTCGTCAAAATTTTAAGTTGCAATTTACAAGACAGTAGGGTAATATAGTGGGCTGCAGTGCAATGTGAATTTCCTGTTTTAGGATTGTAAACCAATGTGGGCCATTGTTTTGGAATCAGGGTCTTCCAGCTGACATAGGTGTATCCTACGTGTTGCTCAAAATAAAAAAGTAATTTCGTTTGTCCAGTTTCTTATTGAGGCTCTGTGCTGTCAAGCTTTAGAGATACAAGCCTGTTAGCAGTGATATATTACCATGATTTCATTCGTTTCTTTCGAAGTATATTTCCTATATATTTATCTTACCATTACCGTAGCAGCTCGAATTGATTTACACTCATACCATATAGTACGCTGGTTATGACTAATCACCGAAAAAGGGATACGACTTTGACTAGTTAGTTTGTAAGATACACCCTAAATTTTTAAATACGATTGCCAATACGGAATATCATCTAATGCTTTTGTAGTTTCATCGTTCAGCTTTTTTTGTACCCGATACACAAGACCTCAATGTTGCCTTTGACAAGTCTTTTCTTGGTGTAATCAGAGAATATTTTAACCAGGTGTGTTTCCAGGTTCCTAACTAATTTCGCAAACGTTTATTTAATTTCCTTCCTTGGGCAATCGATTTATATTACTACAAGCTAGTACGCATGGTTAGCTAAGTGAAATATTAGACGAGTAAGTCCTAGATATCCTAGTATTTTGACTGTAAAAAGGATCTCATGAATACAGACAGAAATCCGAGTCCACATTAGCTACTCCTCACATTCTCGTTATCAATTTGTAGATATTGCGGTAATAATTTTTCCAGCTGGTAACTCCAATACAAAAGTCTAATTCGCTAGCGCCAAAAAAGTCTTCGATTTATCCTTTACAAAACCTAAGTTGCTTTTTATGTGGTTATTTTATTGGAATTTCATTTTTATTTTTTATAGCAACTAGGAGAGTTTTTTCAAGTCATAATAGATTCCCTCGATTCTTCAAATTCAAATGGGAGTTTGGAGGGTTCTCCAAAAGGCTGTGAAACCGACACAATTCCTGTAACACAAAATTTCAGTACATTTGCTACATTTTATCACTCCGGTGCTTTGCTTTTAAATAACGAAGGAGTTGTTGTAACCGGTTTGTTAGCAACTTTGAAGTCTATAGACTTTTGCTTCATACTGAAAGATAATCTGTCTTACATGGATAAACCGGTTTGTCTTTTAATGTTTAAAACGTTTTTTAATATCCATTTCTATATATAAAGTTCAAAGTAACAGCGAATATCGGAAAATTGTGATTTTGCACCTTTCTAAATGGTTCGTGTTCAGTTACTCGAATCATCGGCATAAATGCTACATGTGTTGAGTGAAAGTAAATACCATTTGTTGTAATTGTGAGCCATTCAAATTCCACCATTGCGGAAATTTTCAATACTGCTCCACTGGCTTACTAGTTAAATTATTAAGAATTGATTCCTTGGGGTTTGTTTCAGGGACTGATTAAAAATATTCACAGTTTGATTAAACTACCTGTTGAACAGTTTCGAGTTCTTTGGATGTTCAGACTATCTTATGCTTTAATTATTCTGTTCAACAGTCTTTCACTTATTTCCAAAAGGCTTTTTATAAGTTTGGATTGTTCTGCATTGGTTAGTTGTCTATAATTAATTGGTTAGTTGCGGTTAGTATTTTATTTGATTTACTCCTATAAAGCTACGAGCAAAGGAGAGTGCAACTCCGTTTGACAGTCTAATGGGACCATCGCTCTGCTCGGAAAATGATAAAGAGATTAAATCGTTAACGAATTATTTTAAAAACATCTGAGTTGGATGGCAGGAAAATAAGAAGGTCGTAGCAATCCATTTTCCCGAATTGTTCTGTAGATCGTGCTAAAATGAAGAGTGTCACAGGAACTGTGGACAACTCACTGATGCCTCTCATCCTAGCATATGGGAATCTATTGATGCTACAAAAAGTAACAGCCTAACGCATTTGAAATAGAACATGTGATAAAACATAAACTACAAGTGAGCAGGATCATGCATTAAACTGGCTGTTGGGGATTATGAAAATAACAGACCCATGCTGGACTATTTACACGGAGTAGCACACAATCTGAATTTGTATATCTCTATTTTAGTGCTTTCTCACGCTCGAATCACCCTTATTAATGCTGTCCTTTATTGATGTGAGCTTTTTCTGACAGTACCCTTTTGTGTGTTTCCTTATTGAACGATACCCTTTTTCTCGACAGTCAGTAAATATCCATTGATTTTTATTTTCAGTTACACGTAATACCGTACCACATATATTTACAGGCTAACAAGAAAAGACTTGAAAAGTTATATTCAAAAGTAAAGTAAGTTCTTGAATGAAGTTTGGCTGTATTTGCTTTGACATGTTCAGGGGTATTTTATGTATGTATAATTAGTTATCAGTAAAACGTCGTTTCTGTTGTTTGTTAAGACAGTCAACTTTATCATGCATGAGGAGTGTGACGTGTCTGTCAAATAAACGTCAGATGAAGAGTAGCAACAGGATTTGTTGATTAGGAAAGATATGTTTATTCTACGAATCTATGGATTGATACACGTAATACTTGAGGTGGTAATATCTAAATAAGTGATATTCTCTTATCGTCTAAATTATTCACCCTTCGAGGTAAATTAGGCGTCATTCACATGATCTCAAGGCTAACATGGAGTATTATGCGGTCAGTTTTTAGTTGCTATACTACTACGATCTCTACAGATATATTAATTTTGATAGTTAAGAAAGTATGAGTCCATGGTTCCTCTGAAAAGTTATTGTTCTTATATTCAACATACGAAAGTTTTATTGGTTGCATTATGATTACAAATTACAACTTTGACGTTAGTATAAAATAAATAGAATATGACTAGCAGTGTAATACAGGACCCACTTTTCTTATTTATGAATCATCAGCTGGATGCACCCTCTCATAATTGATTTATTCTATATTAACTTTTGTCAATGGCTATACGCACAGGATACACGTATGTCGAAAAGAGACTGAACAAATTTCAGTTAAAACACGGAAAACATGGTAATCCAAACCATTTGAAGTCCAGTTACAACTTTCAGGTTATTCTTTAGTGAAATAGATGAAACATCTATGTCGGTAAATAAAATGGTTAGTAACAGAATGTTAATGGGACATAGATTTGATTAAAGCATACTCAATGCACGTTTGCGTTGCTGCACGCTGATTGGCTAATTCTTTTCCAATCAGTGCTAGTCGATACTTGGAGAACACTCTACAATCTCCTAATGTAAAAACCATAAATATGCTAAAGTTTTTTCCATTGTGTTTCTTACTTCCATCCAACCTTGTTATTTGGAATATAATCCATTTCCTGTTCAACCATGTTCTGATTTGAGGACTTGTCGAGTGAATCGGTGTCCAAGAATACTAAGCAATAGGAATAGCTGGTTTGTAATAAGAGAGAATTATAACACAGGATGTTTTAGATACCATTTCTGAGTGTACTAATTTAGTATATCTACATAGTTTGTAAGTCTTCAGTTGGTAAATCACTGACCATATTTACAAATAAGTATTTTGATCAGAATTGTGTAGCGTGGCTTTGTTTATCTTAGTAGTGGACTACGTAGTTATGCTTCTGAATTTAAGTTTAGGCTGTCTGAAATCGTACGCTGAGTTTTGTATACAGAGATAATCTTCAAAGTTGAAAAAATATCTGGATTGTAGCAGGAATTAGATGAGCGACTTCTAGGTAATCCATTCACCGTTATATCAATTGACTTACAAGAATTAACTACTCATCATGTCTTGATTTCACAGAAAATTCGGGTAAAACATTCGATATTTTCATTACTATTTCATTCTGTGTGCATTTAAAACTACTCCATGATCTCAGATGTACGGATGAAATCTAAATCATCCAAATATGTCCTCCATCATAAACAATTCATAGATTTTTCATTCTGTCATTTATGAATATTTAAAATTCCGGCACTTTCGACATAATTAATCACTACATTACACAAATATGTAAAATGCGTAAAATAGTTTGGTGGCAAATAACTAGGTAACTAATATTAAATTCGGATTACTTATATTTAGTTACTCTCCAATAGATAAATTGAAATGACGATAAAGCAATGATACGGAGTTGATTAAAATAGCTCTGTCTTCTGATTACTCTATAGAAATTTATAAAACGGACTAACTGCTTTTAATTGAAATGAATTACTTCATTCTAAACAACCAACTGTAACTATGGTATATTCTGGAGAGTTTGTAGAGTCAAACTGTCTAATTATCTCACAGTTCCCATCTGGATTTGTAATTTACTAACAACTATAAGATTAAGACAACGACCCCCTATTTCACTGAATTACTATAAAAACATAATGATTTGCTTATTTTTATCGGTCGCCTTTGTTATGTCTGTTTTCAGAATGTTTTAACTATAATCACACAAAGTATACATATTTAATTTGTTTTGAAGTAAACCCTAATTTTATTCGTAAATTTTATTATTCTCTCTGCAATGACCAGTCAATGGAGGGAATGTTAGTTACCACCTAAATTTTCAAGCTATCTCAAAAAGAAAATGTTCATAAGATGGTAAAATTAATTTGTGAATCCTTTTACAATCTAGGATTAGACTGTATCAGTGAAGTTTCGAATTTGTAATTTGTATACATGTAGAAATACTGTGTAGGAAAACTCATTACATATATCAGAAATACATATATATCATTATAAATAAATAGGCAAACAAATCATGTATTGAAACTACAAAATTTCACTGATTAGTCTTGTTAAGTCTTCTTATTCCACCTAGTGCATTGGGACAATCGACTTCATCTGACTGGTTTCCACATCAAAACACATCTTGGTTAAAGCACAAATATATTTCAAACAAAACAATAATTTGGGTTACAAAATGTCAGTGTACATAATAAATTTCACACAAAATATATTCTAGAGTTAGAAATAGACCAATCAGTCTGTTCCAACATAACGTTGTTTGAAACAAACTCCAAACAGGTTACTGTCTTATTAACAAGCCTTTTACATTGAGCATTCTCTTACTCAGCCCTTAATAATTATTACTAACTAACTTTTCATTTTAGTTTATGTCGTCCAGTAGATTTATCATCTTCAATCGACCAGAAGAATTTTTTAGAAGATTTATGCAACGTACTGAAGTAAGTTTCTGTATTTTATTTTGTAGCAGCATTTATTGCTTTCATTGTTTATGAATTTACAAACGTGTTTCATTGGTCCAAGCACATAAGTGTCAATCACTGGTTTATTGTTAATGCAGAACTTTACAGTCTGTGTATATCACTTTGAGAGTCCTTGCAAATTGGTCCGTTCAAAGAACAGAATTTATTCATAAAGGCCTTTAAAACGGAATGTTTTACACTTCTTCATTCTCTTGTTTGGCTTTACAAACTAACTTTCACTGGTCTCTGTTGATTTCAGTGTTTGGTGTGAATTCCTTTGGAAACTAGGAATGAGTGCATGCGTAATGAATTTCTAATCAGTTCTGAAAGGCTTTCATTCTAACTGTTATCTAAGATTGTAATAAAAATGTTCTTTTCAAACATAGTCCTTACTATTGTTTATTTTGCGTACATTCCTTGTTTGAGATATTTCTTGTCACGTATGTTGAATTTTTATTACTTGAATTTATGAGTCGGTGTAAGCTGGACCACCATTGAAAACTTGGAAGCACTAGACGGCCATTTTGTCGTGATCCGGGTTTTTTCAGCAGTGAACACCCACGACCCCTCACGTGGGACTCGAAAGCAAACGCTTAACCTCTAAACCATTGAGCCGGCATCCAATGGTATTAATGTCTAACTTCAATCTATCCATGATCTTGCGCAAGCATTCATCCATTGTTTGAGGTAGATACCTGTCTCTACCCGACACGGACTGGACTCCACTGGTCACGGCTTCTCACTAGAACTTCAGGAAATCCATCTTGAATCCAGTGACTAGTGAGCACATGCAGTTTTGTCCAGCTGCGGTGATATTCTTCAGTTGAAACTGTACATAAGCTTGTCCCTCAAACCTTGCCAGAAAACGTTTATTCACATTTTTGAAATAAACAATTGGAGCAGATGAATCACTGGGCATACGTTTGAATAATATTTTGCCGAAATGATCATTTCCAAATAAATAATTCCATTCAGTTAATTTTTTTATTTTACAAAATAAATTTTGTCCTTCAAATCCTTTTTAAGGAAACGAATCGATCGAGAAAATACAGTAAATCAAAGACTAAACAATGAAATTACACACCTTTCTAAGCAAATGGAATCCATGAAACTTGAAAATCGGAGTTTGTATATCACTGTAGCACAACTGAAAAAGGATCAAGTTGGTTTAAATAACATGCATTCAGAAAATATGGTAAATGTCAACGCTTTATTTGTATAAGTTGTATTAAAGAACTTCACTGAAATCATGCACCGATCAATGTTAGACCATTATAAAAAACCTGGAATTTCCAGGTGGACGGTCTAACATTGATCGGTATATGATTTCAATGGAACTCAACAATTTCCACAACCCTATACTTATATTAAAGAATGTTTAAAAGTAAATCACTGTTAAATTAACTTCTTACTATGTCTTAACTACAATCTTGTCAGTTTAAAACAAACGGACGTTTAGCACCGATATTAGGGTACAATGTAACCACCACTTAATGCCAAATTTAATCTTCTTAATAGCTCACGATTACTCAGTACAGATCATACATATCCACCAGTTAATTTTGAATTGACTTAGACTGACTATACTTCACTTCTGTACACCCCGATCTGTTTAAAAACTTCGTTTTATCACTTTGTTCCAAGTCTCCCAAAATGTTATTTACTAGTTTTGTTTCATGAAACATTTTTAATACTTGGTCCTACTAAGCTTCTGTTTTAGTTTTTTCGTCACTGATGAAAAAAATATGTGGGTGGTAAATATGTTTTTCAATTTCATGACATATGTACATTCTAGCTGTACAGAATATTCAAATGGGTGCTATAAGATTTACTACTAGTATAAGGATTCAGTAGTGGTCAGATAAAAAATCCACTCTAAACAGCTTTCTATAACATTTGGATTGTTTGTTACGCATCTTTAGTCACTCAATTAAAATATCTGTTTAACTTCCTATTTAATGAATCGACTCTTTATACGAAAAAAACGTTTGTAATTTTAGTTTATTACTTTATATCGCACAAATGTTTCGAAAATGATACTGATGATTTTTGTTAATAAACCACTCTACTAAGCTGTAGAAAATTATTTGGTCAAATTTCCTGCTAACTGAACAATTTGCGATATCATTTCATTATTTAGGAACTTCATACGTATCATTTGACTTAAACAGACAACTATCATCGGCCAGTGGTTGTGTCCGGAGTTAAGTCACTAAGACACATGCACGAACCCTGCTCCACATACTTCAGTATGTACAACCAAATATTCTCTCGTATGTAATGTGGCTCGAAGTCAAGTGCATAAATTTCTAGTCGGTAAATGAATTAGATACTCTGAAATACCTGGTATTGCTGATATAGTGAGGTTTTTTCGGCTAAGAAAGATGATCTTAGTGACGTTGTGTGTTTAAGAGTTACTTGGTCTCCTTTGTATTTTTTCAGTCCGAAGTTTCTCTCTTTTCTTGGCCGGATATATACCCACATCTATTGAGAGCCAGTGTCGCTTTTCTTTCTGTTCTGTTAGTAGATCGGTGCTTGTTTTGTGTTTCTGTTATATCTCAAAGGGCCGCCGATTAGAGGACAGTGACTTATCGATTGGATCTAGGGAATCAGAATCTCGATAGGCTATTCTGGTCCGTTGTACCCGACTCAGCTAACACGATCAAGAAGTCTGGGTGAGGCGTAGAGAGTTTATTCTATAGGCAAACAGCAGATATCAAGTCAGGTCAAGCACACAAGCGTATTTATACAAATATTTACAATCGATATTGTCATAGTAAAATGTTTTTAAACATTAATCAATAAGTTCGTCAATCGACAGGCATTCAAATATTTCATCGATAAGTTCGTCAATTGATTGCTATTTAATCATTTAATCGATAAGTTCATCAATTGACTGCCATTCAAATATTTAACATTTAATCGATAAGATGAAATTACAAAATATGAGTTTTGGGGATCTATCGTCCCCAACAGTTTCTTTATCATCCTCTCCTCCATTTCGCTGTATTGGAATCAGGAAATATTTCTTTATGGTAGAAGTTCTAAATCCAACTTATCAGGGTCTTTGAGTGTATGACTAAATACGACTCCTAGAATAAAACATTTACAGTAGTCCAATTCAAATTTAATGAGTTTTTCTGAAAACTACGTTTAAGTTTATTGTAAGATTATAGTCCGGCAGTTGGAAGTACTTTAATTTTGTAATAATCAATTTTCTGTTATTTAATTCTCCATCCACTTATTGTGTATTTCAATTATCTAGGAAGCAGTGAGTCGCATAAATCAATTAGAGTCTGAATTAAAACATTGCCAAAAAACAAATGCAGAAAATGCTGAACTTGTTGAATCGATTCGAAGTCATTTAGATGAATCAAATAAAAGATGTAATCAGTTAGCTCGATATTTATCCGTAAGTGGTTTGGTTTTTTTTCTGCACAGTAGAGTCTCACTTTTTCTTTGATATTATGAAAAAATCGTTTAAAGGAAGTCATAGATTTGTTCACAGATCTTACTCTTTTGTGAATACCATCTGGATTATATTTTTTGAATTCAAAATTGAACAATCAAGTGTTGTAGCTCTGCAGGTAACACGATGTTCTCTGGTGTTATAATTCTCTCTTATTACAAACCAGCTATTCCTATTGCTTAGTATTCTTGGACACCGATTCACTCGACAAGTCCTCAAATCAGAACATGGTTGAACAGGAAATGGATTATATTCCAAATAACAAGGTTGGATGGAAGTAAGAAACACAATGGAAAAAACTTTAGCATATTTATGGTTTTTACATTAGGAGATTGTAGAGTGTTCTCCAAGTATCGACTAGCACTGATTGGAAAAGAATTAGCCAATCAGCGTGCAGCAACGCAAACGTGCATTGAGTATGCTTTAATCAAATCTATGTCCCGCTAACACCTGGATATGCATATATACTGGTGATAAATATCGTTAATCGCTTATCATTAAATGTATTTCTTTAATCTCTGGGATTTCTTAACCTAGAAGAATCGCAGAATACACGACTTTAGAGAATCAAGTCACTACTCAGTAAGTAATTTGTCTGAATTCTTATTTTACGTGAATTAGAATTACGACTATAATTCAACTGTCGATTTTTAGAAAACGCTATCATTACCACATCCTCCTGATTCTGACGGTAATGTCAATTATACCTTGACTTGTTCGATTACTTTAAATCGCGTGTTGCTTTACCGTTTGTTTGCCGTAGTCTTACCACCCGGAGGCGCTATGCCCCCAAATGCCCTGGTATGGCCGAGAGTGGGGTGGGCCTGCCCTCCCTCTCGAAATGCTCTCACACGGCCAAGTGTATACAGTTTCTGCCAGGGAAGTCCTGCTCACTGCCTCTCGTGGTGGGGGTGTTGTTTACGAAAGTGAGAGGACGAAAAGCGAATGTCCGGCGCTTTAACCGGATCCCAAACCAATGGTGCACATGGGCTCCAGTATCCTGCGGGAACAAATGGCGTATGAACCAATCGTTGGTCACCGGCTACCATGGGACTGCATCTCCTTACGATGCTCCACTGCCGTGTGGATTAGACCTTTAGGTCAAAGGCTCGGGGTGTGGCCTCCTAGGGAAACCACCTGCTTCGGTCTGGGCACCCGGGCAGTATTCACAGCCCACACACACAAATATGGGGTGGCGCATATATATTTGGTGCCCTATTGTACCAATATTTATGTGTTGAAATAATAATAATAAATAATAATAATAAGTCTTACCAGGTGTTATTTAGTAAATATTCTATAATCACATCATTACTTATTTTATTGATTGAATCACTTATCTGAATACATAAATACTGCGACAACTGGGCATCAAAATAATTGTTCACCTTACAAACAAGTGAATGAATTCTTGAAGAGATAAATGATGAAGAGTGAATCTAGTTCAAAAAATAATTATGTGAAAATAAATGAACAAAACTGGTACGTAATGAAAGAAACACTTAATTAGATAACAACCTGAAATGATTCTCTCAGTTGAGTTTCCTTTCCTCCAATGGTTCCTATTATGAGCCATGTCTGATAACGTCAGAATTCGTTGGGTTGTGCTATCTCTGAGAGCCCAACTAAGGTAGTCGTTATGGACCAGGGGGTGATATTCCCATGAAGCTTTCTTTCATCTCACAGTTTCATGTCATAAACTGACTATCTTTCCTCTTTTTCTGACCAATCACAACGTCAGTAAACAGATCAAGATGTGGAGGTCGCTCTGATGACGTTCGTAGCACTCATTTGAGCACCGTATCTAGTGTCTCTAAGCAGTGACACCAAGTCAGTCGTCACTATGCTCGAACACACACTGTCCAACCTCCTCACTACTAGCATGGTGTTCCCACTGAATGTTAGTTATCCCCATACAGTAAGACGATATCATCCAGATACTCGAAATCGAAAAGCCCTGCTCCAGGTAACAGATCTACATGTTTACTACCACCAGAGCTGCTTCCGGAATCCTGTCAGTGGCAAAGCTGAGGAGGAATACTGAGATTGGGTAAGCTTACCTTACCTCGCTACCGGAATGGAAAAATGGTGAGAGGTAGTTGTATGTCTTCACTCTATTTTATTTGTCTGTGTACAGAGCCTTCAAGATGTTGACAAACCTGTCATCTACATCCTTTTAAGACAGGTAATCCCGGAGTACACTTTTGTTCAAGGAGTCTAAAGCGACCATATCATCACTTATATTACTTCGCTAGAGTTTTGAACACCTGCTTCGAAGATACAGCAGATGTCGACATCACGACTTTATAAACAAATAACCAAACGTATGTGTTATCCGGTCTGCATTCAGGTGGGAACTTTAAAGGTCAGTTTAAGTAATACACGTAGTTTCAGAAATGCTGATCCAGATTCCGTATTTGGTGGCAACATTCCGAATTTCGACCTGTTAGCAACTTGAAATAGTTTAAACAGTACAGACCTTCAACCAAAAAAACGACTATTTCAAAGTTAATAAAACTATTAGGTTATGAAAGCCCATTTTTATGGACTGTAGTAATTTGGACGCATTCTCCAACATTTATTTTGTACAGGAATATGATTGTTTTAAAACACTGTCGTGGTATATAAATATTACCATCTATTTATTTTTAAAATATACATTTTGTTATCTAAATACTCATATTTTGTGAGAGGCAAACAAGTCACTCGCTAGGTTATTTTTCATTTAGAATATTAAACCGAAAATTCATAAGCTTATCATTGCATATTAATAAATATCTGTAGATCCATGTGTTGTGTAACTATATTTAGTCCATTGTATAACCATTTGACCATTGGACTGGTTTCTAAAACAAAATTTTTTAAAAACTATACATGTTATAAATGTGTAGTGAATTCAGTAAGGTAAGTTAACTTCATCCTATAATGTTCGTGAGTTTATATATTATTACTACCATCATTTTTAACATGTTCAGTTTCACGAACTTGCAGTCTAAATGTACTCTATTTCTTTTTTTCTATCATTAATTTTTTCAGGATTCCCAGTCGTCACTTGAACATAAAGAAACTATAATTAAACAATTAGAAGCTAAGTGTAAAGGAATGACAAATATGATTGAACAGATGAACGAGAGGTAAGTATGGATAACAAATCTGTTTTATTAAACCTTTGTCCATGAATTACTAGACTCAAAGCAAGCTATTATTTTGTTAATAAAATTATATTAAGTATTAGTTTTTTATTGTTATGTTACCCTGGTTTGTCATTATAGATTTACCCAAAGTAAATTTCGATGGATGAGAAACACAACTGGTTCTTTAAAACCAGAGTTTCATGAAGATAATTACCATTAAAAATATGTATGTATAAGCTTGATTAATCATCTTTTTGATTTTTATTAAAACACTATGGTGCACTTTTTTAAACATCCAATATCTGGTTGTGAGTGTATAAAGTCTTTTTCTCTAATCCTACGCATTTTCGTTGTCACTTTTTCCTTTTTGTTTTTGAGATTCAGTTCACTCACTTGTTGATCAACATTTGCTTTCTGCATATACTGTCTTTTTATACCGGATTTATGTATGAATTTAGTATTCAATAGATTAGGAATTGAACAAGTATGTTTACATGTTTGAATCATATTTCATTTGCATAACTTTTGGGCAATCAGATATGTATTAGCCTCTTGCAATATGTGATTTAAATGTACACAAATTATCGCTTACTTAGTGAGCAAAATGTTTAGTTTCCCAAACTATATTTGACTCTAATTTAAATTCCAATAACTTGGATAACTGAAACACCATTAGGATATAAGAAATTGGACATCTTTTCTTTCATAATACTCAACTCAAATGTTCAGATTATCCTTTAATTCGCACGGTCTCATAATTGAGTTTAATTGAAGCTTCCTATATTATGATTTCTGTTAATATCTTTAAAAACTCTGAGTACGAAGAAATATTATACAGTTGTTTCATCCATAAAGTCATGAACTGACGGTTTGAGCTGTATGGGGAAATTAAACATACTGTTTTAGACTCATTTAATGGTTTTAATCTATTGTTGACTATGTTAAGCGATATGAGACATGATGATTTATTGGTTACAGTCAGTAACTTTTAACCACTAGTTCTCAAATGCGAACCTCGCAATAACTACTTTGGTTTGCGACAATTGTATACTATCAGAAACTCACGCAAACACTGTACCTCGAAGCTGACCGCTTAATTCTGTAATTGGTAGATAAGTTGCGTTAGTTTAAGGATTGACATAATGAAAAATTGATTACAGTAAGTGCAGATTCGTTTATTATTTTTCGCATAAATTGTGAGTTCTAGCATCCACTTATGTTTCTTACTTATCGTTTTCTTTCCTATCTTAGTTCACTAACTCCATCGAGAACACAATTTCAACTCTTTCACCTTAAATCTTATTTTCTTTACACTGATGATGCGTAATGTTACTACTTAAACCAATGCAAATTTATGTCTATTTCTACGTTCTCTATGATTGACAGACGAAACAGTAGTGTATTTATGAAGGCTTAAGTAATAAATATTATGTAATCCGAATAACTATATATATATATATATATATATATATATATATATATATATATATATTCCGTTTTTTATTTAATAGTTTTTCCCCTTTTTGTTTACACTTAGAATAGCTAAGCTTACTCATGAAAAGGTTTCACAGGAACGAGATTTATATAAACTACGCGAAGAGTTGTCAAACGCAGACACAAAATCTGTTGAGCAGTTAAAAGTGATTGAAAATCAAGCTAGTCAGATCGAAAGATTAGAAACTGAATTGAATGGGCAAACAATCGAGTTGAATAATGCAAAGTTGGCTTCTGATCAGCTAGTATTGTGTAAATTAGTAAGATTAATTAATTGTATACATTTTAATATTACAGTCATTATTTTTATACAATGAATCCTATTTCAGTGATGATTTTTGGTGATCATTCATTGTGTAAGTTATGCTAATGTCAGGAGAAAACTTCACTAAAAACATGCGATTTGTTTACTTTTTTTGCTTTTGTGTTTTAAACAAGTGTATTACTTTCTTCTAAAATTGATGTGCATAAAGTTATAGTTTGAAGCTTGATAGATTGTGGACCTTTCATGCCATTAAGTCACCCGTAATCAGCTTAGAGCCTACACTAATTTAGCACAAGGAGATGAAGTTAACACGATAAATAACTAAGGAATGGAAGTTATCGATTCTGAGTCATTCAAAGTCTCCAGCCACTAATTCCACTTACCGGGTAAACCCTAACCAGGCATTTTGGACCTTCCAACAGGGTCCAGACGAACGATTATGGGTAATGTCATGTTTTAGTTTGGCTACTCCTACATTTCTTCCAGCTTACTCCTACACCAGTTAACATTACAAATCGAGGTAAGTGGTGCTTAGCCATGGGCAGCATACGAAAATTCACAACTTCATCAACCTGTTTGTTACCTTTACGTAGTACCTTTTGTGTAACTTCAACATTACTCACTCTGTTTTTCAATGAAATGCCAGTAGTTCCTTGAAGTTATCTTTGATCATATATCCTTGGTTTAATTAAGTGAACCTTCGTAACTGCTACGGTTATTTTCGAATATTAGCAAATTTAGGATTTGTTTGATTTATTTTTTTCTCAAAGAACAGTAGTGATTGTTATCATTCATTATTTACCATAAATTTTGTTTTCCTTCTGCACACTAGTTGTTGCTTTCTCTTTTACGTACAGATTTTGATGGCTTCTGATCTATCATTGTTTTTCAAATGAGAGATCTGTATGTAATGACAATAAATTATTAATATCAGTCCCAACAATCCATCCTTTATCTCATACATATAGTTCCCTTTATCATTTTGAAAAGAGCAAGAACAAAGATTCTAGCAGAATAACATGAATTCATTTTATTTCTTAGGCTCTCGTCAGCTGCTTACAACCTGTGGCATTTAACAGATAATAATTACATAATGGGTTTAAATTGCTTACATGAGAGGGTTTATATTGAAGAAATATTCGTAAAGTATGACATGGGTGTAAATGAAATTAATAGGCTGAATATTGTAAATATATACCTAATATGAAAGAATATTCTAGAGCATTAATTGTGACAACAGTTCAAAGGGGTAGAAACAATTGATTACATAATGAATAAAAATTGATAGGAATATAGTGAGTAGAGTTCAGTTGAAAGATTATTAATTTTTTTTTAAGATAGTTGAAAAAATAAAATCGATGACGTAATAAATATAAAAGTTAAAATTTTAAAAAAGTTAAGCTGCAGCGGAAGAATATTTGTCACCAAGGCAGGGAAAGATTAACAATCATCTCCTTTTGAACACATAAATCAGGTTTTTGGCGCCTGATAGCAACTGTTTCAGCAAACTTCAGAAGACTGGAGTTTGCCTGCTTACTAATAACCTCGAATGATTGTGGGGTGTCAACCTGATGGCCTGTGTCAAGGAGATGTTTAGTGATTGCACTACTTAAAGTCTTTCTCTTGTTTGAGGTTTTTTGGAACATGTTCAAAAAATCTGAGATATGCCCTCCTTTCTGTTCGGCCAATGTAGCTGCTTTGGCAGATACATGTAAATTTATAAATACAATTGGCGGTAACATGAAAAGGATGCTTATCAACCTTTGATTGAGTTATTGAACATGTTGTTTTATGCAGAATTTGAAGTTTGGCTGCCGGATAGGTTCTGGCTAGCGCAGTATTGAGTCTCCTGTTGATTGTGTTAGCAACATCATCACCTTTGAATTTAAGACTTATAGTTATTGGTTTTTTATTGACAGTAATTACTTCAGTATTATTTTCTTTACGCTTTTTATATTTGTCAATAAACTTTTGTGGGTAATAGTTGTCTCGTAGGTTTTTTTGTGCGTTCATCAATTCTTCTTCCAGCTTATCAGTGGTGCATATCTTTTCTGCCCTGTAAAATAGTGTTTTAATTAGTGCCTTCTTGTAGCTGAGTAAACAAAAACTATTGAAATTCAGGTAAAGGCCATTCCAAGTACTTTTTCGATAAAGCTAACGTTGGACTGTCCCGTCTCTCCTACGTTTTATAGAAACATCAAGAAAGTGGAACATGTCATTCTGTTCGTGTTCCATAGTAAATTATATGTTAGAATGTGCATTATTGAAGAGTTCTAGCAGGCGGATTGCATGCTGTTTATTGTAGCAAACAATGAACGTGTCATCAACATATCCGGAATATTCCGTCGTTTCGCTAATCGCCTGATTACGCACCATGTTTTCAAGATACCCCATAAAAATATCTGCCAGAATTGAACCTAGTGGGATTCCCATTGCTACGCCGTCGATTTGACGATATATGGTGTTATTAAACTGGAATTGGACGTCTGTTGTGCACATTAATAGTGGTATTTTCAAAAGCTTTATGGTAATTTATAGATTTATTCAGTCAGCTTGTCAACTCATCGGGCTTTCTTTTCAAGTTTAATCTTATCTGCAAAGCTTTTTTACTGACAGTGTCTCGTTAAGTGAAGACATCCAGTTTTAAGAACTATTATGATATTTATGTCTCAGCGCTTTCATTTTTTCGAATTTGTTTATCGTACATTCCTTTTCATAAGTAATATTTGTGTTTTTACCAAGACATTTAGATATATTTCAATTTACTTGAAAGAATGTTAGATTTTGAAGATAGATAAATTGTGTGATCTCAGTAGTTTGACACATAACCTCTCAGTGTATAGATAATTTAGGAGGTTAATTTAATTTACTTTCCATCTAATTTCATTTAAAATGATTAAAAATCTATTTTAATTTGTTTTCATGTTCCACCCTCCTATGGTATTATGTACTGTCATGGTTTAAGTCAATTTTCTTTTCAAACCACAATATTCTTTACTTTGCTGACATGGAAAGTCTATATTTAAAGATCAAACCAAAGGATATTCATTCGATGTAAAATTTTCGCAAGATGCTAGATTTTAGGTTCTTTACTATTTCAGTTCTATTACTTATAGACTTGTTCATTTTATTGCTACGATCACTGCAATTAATAATCACAACATGGATATTTCAGTTTTGTGTTGATTTTCGAAATACTAGTTTTCGCTTTCTACTTTTTACTGTGAAGTTCATTATTTTTCACCGATAACTGTGGTCAGTCAAATTTATTTTACATCATATGATCGTTCATTAATTTTTGCTTTCTAGGAAGTTGAGGAGTTAGACCAACAACTTAAAGTTTGGCGTAAACGATGTGAAGAACAAGAGTATAGTTTATCCGAAATGGCTGCAGTTGTGAATTCGAGTAAGCTTGAAGCTGAAAGTTTACGCGAGTCACATAGTGCATTCAGTGATGCTCAATGGGCAAATGATTCTGAAAATCCAAACTGTTTTCTTTGTCAGAGTCCGTTCAATGTTAGTCGTCGTCGGGTATGTTGTTTCTGTATGTATAATAATTAGACTGCCCATTTATTCATAAGAAACAATTATTTCGAACATCTCTTCTTGTTATGGGACCAATGATAGGATAGTTACATACTGATTTACGGTACAAATCATAACGATTTTTAAGGTAGATTGAACCAGGTTTGAGTTTATGATTTTTGTGTCCAATTTAAACACTAAACCTGTTGAATTTACATTTCGTAGTAATTCCTTGTTGATGTTGACAATGCTGCTTTCGTTGTATTGTCTAATTGGCGTAGACGTGACATTAAATAAAACACTAGTGACCTATGATTCCTAACAACAGATCATATATCATAAATTTTATTGACTAGATTTAATTATTTGGTCACTATAATCGGTTAGATACACTTCTAAATTTCAGTATCGGGTTGTGAAGATTGTTGAATTTTGATTAAGATCATGAATGAACCAATGTTAGACCACCTCTGAAAACCTGGAAACACTCGACGGCCGTTTCGTCTTAGTGTGGGACTCCTCAGCGGTGCGCGTCTACAATCCCACGTGCGCGACCATGAATACGTAGTGCTGAGGAATCCTATACTTCTAAATATCTTCATCGATTTCAGCGTAAATGGTTTGGCCGACTTAGAAAATCTGACCTTTTATATCATTTAACTAAAGAATATAAATGTGTTTCGATTTTCGCCTTATATTTTCCACTTTTTGACTACCTTTTATTTTCAAAAAATACAGTTTAATTATCCACTGTACATATTGTTAAACATGAACATAATGTAATGTACAATCAGATCTAACTCGGATAGAATCTGTTACCAACTATCATGAAACAACTTTATCGTTTTTCTGTTATATGAATTACAAGGTGTTAATCTACCATTTGTATTTTCTCAATGTCTTCCAAACATTATAACCCACCTATGGGATAATAAACCTCAAATGGACTCGAATAAAGTTCAACATGATGACAAGTTTATTGTTCCAATGTAGATTTACAAATAAATACCATTAAAATCTTCACTACTAAATCGCTAAAGATAAATGATTCATACACCTTGTTTTTTGACGAAAGATCTAGTCAACGTTTATGAATAACCGAAAAATCATGACTAATAAGATGAAATGATATATCGATCAAAACATATTATTTATACTCTTGGTGTATAACACACTGAGAATTCGTGTTGTTAGCAAAAAGCGATCTATTCAGTTAACTGGCTACCACGTGAGAAAGTTACAATTTGTTCTCCCCATTGGTTTAGTTTCGGTGATCTGATTACTATCATAATTTTTTCGCATCGTGCTCTAAATATGGCTTAGTAATATCAAACGATTCTTCCTCTCCTTTCTCTTATCCCTTTTAAAATTTCATTTCAGGATTTAATTAGTTCCATTTTCTATTTTCCTAGCACCACTGTCGAAATTGCGGCCTGATATTTTGTCACGAATGTTCATCCAGAAAAATGACTTTACCAAGTTCTGCCAAACCTGTACGAGTCTGTGATACATGCCATGGATTACTTTTACATCGCTATAATGCTAAATAAACCATAATAAATGGTTTTCTTTTGCGACAGTCATTGTAACAATACGCTTTTCGGGTAAATAATTGAAAAACATATTTTCTCAGGTCTGAGCATATTAAGCTAGTGTGATACATTAAACTAATGACATTTATGTTCATTATGTTCTGTCTCATTTTCGTTTCTGGTTCCATTATCAATATTTCTTTTCACACATTTATTTCTTGATTTTTAAATGTGATTGCGCTAATGTATGTATTGTCGTATAGCTTACTTCTACGAATTTTTTAATTCTTTCGAATAGATGAAATCGTTCCCTCAAACACTTCTAAAACTGAAGTGTTTCTCACCAGATCATTCACACTTCAATTGTCTTTGTATAGGTTGATGGTGCACACTTTGTGTATTCACATGTCTATTAAATCTTAAGTATTAGTTATTCACATTTTTTTATACAGTTATCTGCAATTTAGAATTTGGATCGCGAGAATTTGAACTGGATGAATTCAGTCGAGAATTTTTACCACTTGAGCCTTCACTTTTGAAGGTATAATCCCTGTATGTAGTTGGTGGTAATTCAGTAACATTTAAGCTATATTCTCTGAATGGGTCTAACGTTTTCGAGACTTGAAGATTTTACTGTATTACAGTAATTAGGCAAGAAATCTCTGAATTCTGATTTTCTCACTTAGTCATGTGGATGCGCTAATATTCTTTGACAACCGTTTGACTGTGAATTGCGTGAAAAGGTAAACTGATAGTAACCTGCATTTATTATTTATTTATTTGAACACATAAATATTGGTACAACAGTGCGCCAAATATATGTGTGCCACACACAAAAATGAGAATTTAAAGAGAAGGAAAAAGAAAAAAGGTAAGGAGCGCAAAAAAAGAACGATAACGAAGAGATTGGTGTAAGGCAGTGTAGTAATAATAATAATAATAATGGGGGAACGGGAAGGTACGGTCAGAAGAAATCTTTCAGTTAAGGGAGATGCAACCACTTTTTACGAAGAAAGTAAGAGGTTACAGCAGGATCAGGCTAAGCAAATGGTTCCAACACCTATCAATTATAAGTTAGTATGGTAACAAACTAGAAATAGATACAAAGCAGAGTTATTTGCAGCTTCGAGTAATATGTGTTGAGATTGTTAAGAAATCTACAAATTTTTGATCAAACTACTTCCAAATTCAACATTCCACGTCCTGAATGTATGTTAGTTATAAGTAACGAGGCACTGAATTACTTGTCTGGCAAAAAATCAATTTGGATTTTTTTAAGCGGTCAATAACACAATTAAGAAAAATTAGTGGACTGCTAATTACAGTGCGCTGTGAACAATCATCAAGTGCACAAAAACATGGAAAGGGTCGATATAGTTTGAACGAAAATACTTTTAAAGGAAATATGAAAGGCATACAAATCTGATGAAAGACAAACCAGGTTACTTAAAGAATCACTGGTACAAAATACATAGAAAAATTTAGGAACCTTAAAATTGTGTTATGTGCACAGCGTTGTTTATTTAATGTAAATACATAACGTAGTTGTGCGTAGTAATATGCAAAACAACCGTAGTATAGAAACAAAATTAGTATCCACTAATATCACAGATTATGTAACACCAGTTGGTAAGAATAGATATTCATGGTAATTTGAAATGCATGTGTAGTTTTTTAATGTGCTGTAGGTTTTTTAAAGGAATATAAATACATATCATCTGGTGTTCGAAATAATGCTTCAAGTGTAAACTGCTGAGAAACGAAACAATTCGCGGAGTTCGGTCGATAAAATTTACAAAGTGCTCATAAAGTGTCCTACATTACATGGTTTGTATCTGAAGAAGTGTTGATTGTGCCGTGGGTAGAGTTGCTCTAATGACATGTTGGGAATTTTATTTTGGAAATTCAAATTTGCTTGTTTTTGCGCCAAGAGCGCACTTTTCACCTTTATGTCGTATTTCCCACTTGGGATAATCTTTAACGCTATTAGTCCATTGTGTGTTTTTAGTATGCTATTTTTACTACGCTTCATAAGGACAGTTTTATGCTGCGTATATACGTTTGATTTGTGTCTGTTATTATTCACTCGTGCTTCTGGTTTTCGGAGTATACTCTCCTGTTCCAACCTTGGACTTCTTCCTCTACTTAGCGGGACCGGGACGCATCAAATAGCTCGCTTATTGGTCTACGGTCAAAATTCTTTGTTCCATTCGCATACTAAGTGAACTCGTAATAGCTTCAAACCTAGCAATACATCCTGTTAGGTTAGACAAAATCCCGCTCGTTCAAAGTTTGTATTTATGTCATGGCTAATTAAGTGGACTTTAAGGTGATAAAGTTAGGGGTAAGTTTATCTCTGGATTGTTATTTCGTTACAAATTTTGTAAATTTCTGTGGACGTTTAACATTATTGTCAAAGAATAGAGCTTTTCGACTGCCAGGTTATTTCTGTTCCAATGGCACAGCAGAATTTGGTGTGGTGTCTTTCTTTATATATTGATCAATTATCTACATTCATGGTTGCAGGTGCATCGGAAGAAAGGACATAGTTATAAGCATTTGAAGACGATATTTTCTTGCTCATTGTCGATAAACATTCACTATTGGAGATTTACGGCAACTGCTAAGGGAACGGTCTTTCGTAAAGCAATATCAACTGGTTCTGGATATCATCAACCAAAAGTATAACAAATTTGTGAGGTGCCATTTGTTTACTAACTTGTTGAGGGTGAGTAGTTAGATTAGCAGGGGCAGGCATTGTCGGGTGCATATCTTGTGGTGCGCTACTGACAAACGACGTCAAATGTTTCATATTCTAATTAACTGATGGTTCGAGTAAGGTCAGTGTTTAGCATAAACCTAGTGAGCTTCAGTAAATTGTTGTCTCGTTTTGAGATGTTATAAATAATGATGGGATCCTGAAACGAAACGGCTTTGTGTAAATATTGAACTGGTTTAACGATTAGTCATTACGCAACCATGATACGAATATACTCGCTTAGCGCCCATTCATTGAGGACAATGTCGAAGTGAGAAGTACATATCTGCTATAGACTAACAATTAGGATTTGTATTTGACTTTGGAATTGATTATTGATTCGTTTTCTATAGTTCTCTGTCTTGCTGAACGATTAAAGTCGATAATAAGTTAAAATTGTTAGTGTATCTCAACAGTTTATAAAGTATCAATCAGTTTTCTGATTCTGCAAAGTGATCACGCAGTACCAATGTTGATGAAATAAATTATGATTTGCTATGCAAACACTTATTTATGAGTCAACTAGTTGAACTTTAGTCACTTTGTTATGATCAGGACCAAAACAGAATGGCTTTGATTGTTGATGGTCCATCTTATTCTAAATTTTCACTGTCTTCGAGCGAACGTGTGCATATCGTAAACTAGTTTTTCAACTGCATGTATCGAACATTTTGTGAGATGTACTTACCAGATTTAATGTTACATGAATGAGCATAGTAGTTCATTATCCGTGAGAATGGTAGACCAGAATCAATAGTTCTGTAAGTCTTCGACATTTGATATTGACCGGATTAGTTTTACGGAACTCACCTATGTGAAAGTGCTGAGTCACTTATCTGCACCAGATCACGAATCGGTACGTTGTGTTTCATATTTAAAACTCTACTCAGCCAAGATCAGTCATATATCTATATCTTATCGAATATATATTTTCGAACCTTGACGCTCCGGATTTACTGGGCTGACATATTTTGATTATAGGTGTTACTGGTTAAAGCGTTGTCAAACTCCCGATATTTGTGACATTTTAGGACCTTACAGCAAGTGATTGAAATGAATGAATGCTAAATATATGATCAGGTGTGTGCAACCAAATGTACTATATCTCATCCGTATATGAACCAATCAACTTGAGAATAAAGTAATTAGTTATTTAACAGTAGTTATAGACGTCCTTTGACTTCGGTACACAATACACAGATCGATGTTCATTTAGTGATAACGATTCAAAAACGAATAAGTAGTACAATTTAGTAATGTTCAACTATTGATTTTAAAGTCATCTCGTGCTTCCTGGAAAAATCTCAACGTTTTGTATTCCTTTTAGATCAGAAATTGATGCGCGTGGTTAGTTGTATGAATTCCTGATCACATTACTTCACTGTAAAAACGGGACTTTGTCTTAGCTTTAATGAGAAGCTATAACTTTTACTACACTCGTCTGGATATTCTGTTATGAATGAGAGTAGTGTAAAATCCCATCAATAAAAGAACCTGTTGAATTATGATTTTGTAACGATAAATAAATCTCCAGAATAGATAACTTCGTAAGTCTCCGGCATTGGATGCTGACCACATTAGTTTTAATCAACTCATCTAGCTGAATGCACTCTGTCAGGCATCTGCACCAGATCACGAGTGGGAACATCCCCTACGATCTGCAGTCAGATTACATCAGTTTCTTGATATATTGATAATCTATCAAATATATTTTCGAACATGCTCGCTTCTGTCTTTTTATTTCACTTGGTGGATACGATTTGTGTTAGATGCTACTGGTTAAAGCGTTGCAAAAACTACAAATACCTGTAGCATCTTCAGTCTAATTCGTTATTAGTACTGCTGTAATGGTAAACGTAATCCTTAGATTTTAGATTTGTCATGATGTAACTGACTAATGTATAAGATCTTACTTGGAAGTCACATCTTTGTCTGCATTAACTCATCGTGCCGTAACAATCACTAATATATGATGAGACACATTTGTAGGCTGGAGATAGAACAATATATTTAATATGAATAAAAGAGATAAGTTATACAAGAATGAACACGTCTGCAAGACTGAGCCGTGACATCTGATGGACTGAATCAATAATCCCACTTTTCATAGTTAACCATTTCTGCGTGTCACTTTTTGAATATAATCCTTTTCATTATTTAATGCTCGGCTTGAAAGGTCGTGTGACTAGGATTCAATGCAACTACAAATTCGATGGCAGTGTCGAAGTTAATCTTTTATTGGTAACATAAATTGCTTTGATTATATTCTATTTCATCTATGCAGCAGCCACTTTTTGTTCACAAGGACGACATTATTTTATAAGAGTCGATGTGCATTCTGGTCCAGATGGTAAAAATGTATAATTAAGGGGTTAATAGAATCTTTATTTATTGCATTTGCGCACCTTTAACGTCTAACACACGAAATAATGTTATTTGCGAGTTTCATCCACTTTCTGGTTATTGTTGTCAAATAAATACATTTGGTTCGCAATGGAATCTCTTCTGCCATTAATTAATTTCGTTGAATTAATGTTTTTATTTTGCTGATGATCATCGTAAACATCAATCCTATGTAGGGATTTGTGTAGACTGATGCGACTCGGATAAGGGCATCTCTGTCCAACGAACTTACGTAAAGACTCGGTATTATTCCATGAGCCTTAGCAAATTATTAGTTCTTTCTTTCTTACTTAAATTGTATTAATCATATCTACAGTGGCGAATAACTGCGAATTTTGTGATTTATACGTATGACGCTGTTTACTTTCAGTTCGCCTCGAAATCACAAGAATATTTTTTAATTACCCTATGATTTCGTCACAACATTCTTCCACATTTTACAAGATCATTCAAGGCATCGTTAAAGATATATAGATTTTGTTGCAACTGTTATGTTGAATTGGATGTGTGACGCTCCTTCCAAATATTTATCTGTGAATGAGTTTTTTTAGTGGTCGCAAAATTAATCAGTAGATTATCAAAATGCAAAAATGTAATAGAACTTTTTTAGTCCACTGAATTCATAAGTATTAAAGTGAAGTAATGTAACTACTTACCTCACGAAATCGCAAGGCTATATAACAGAAATTATGGTTTCCTCATCTTGATATACACTATTATGACGTCCAGGATATCCTACATTCCGAGATTCTTTGAAGTATAAATAGCATCTTCCTAGAAGAAAATCGGAGCAAAGAAGTATCACAGTATTGCCATTACCACTCGAGCCATGATGTGATGTCCATTCCACCAATGTCATGTTGCATTGCATTGATATGTAGCGGTAAATCCGTAATATAACTCGTTCTGTAGGTCTTCGACACTCACACTGACCTCATTAGTTTCACTGGATACACCTTTGGCGAAGACGCACAGTGAAACACTCACACTGGATCACAAGTGGGTTAGCCGTACTACCCAGATCTTGTAAATGTTGGTCAGCTTAGCATAAACACCTCACAATATATCGATAGCTTTCTGAGTTGACTGATTTGGTATGCCTCGATTATAAAGGTGTTATGTGTGAAGGCATTGTCAAACTCCGAACGCCTGTAGCATTTTGGAATTTTCTTCGTTTAACATAAAGAATCATTTGGAAATGGTTAGGCTTCATTTCAATTTTCATCGTTTCATATGTGAGATTTAGACCAATCAATTGAGTTACTCGTTCTTGGTTCACGTCCATTAAAAATTATAAATGAGTCTTCAGTGGACTAGAATCTCTCGATTGCGTATGCTGATCAAAAAACCAAAAATAATTCTAACTGTGGCAATCTTACTGTATTTTTATTAGTATTAAACTCACAGACCCGTAAGCCTCACCAGTGTTGTAATTAAAATACTGGAAAGAATAATCAAACGGACCATAACGGCATTTATGGAAATCAATAACTTGCTGAACATGGCACAATATGGTTTTAGAAAGGGTCTATCCTGTACAACGAACCTCCTTATAGCTAAGGAGTTCTGGATTAATGCGCTAGACAACGGAAACTCAATGGATGTTGTTTACATAGATTTCGGTAAGGCTTTAGACAAGGTGCCAACTAATAGACTGCTATTAAAGTTAGAAAACCTTGGTATTGCCGGGTCTCTTTTAAAATGGATTAAAGAGTTCCTAGTAGGTCGTAGACAAAAAGTAAGAATAAATTCCAAGTGCTCCATCCGGAGACCAATACTTAGTGGAGTACCTATGGTTCCGTCCTAGGTCGTTTACTTTTTATAATGTACGTTAATGATCTCACAAGTATAGTACAGTCTCCAATGTTATTATACGCTGACGATGTGAAAATTTGGCAAGTAATAACTGGAGACAAAGACGCATTTACTCTTCAGGCAGACTTAAATAAAATGATAAACTGGTCTAAAGAGTGGCTGATGCCTATCAACGCGGAAAAGTGTGTCTAAATGCACTTGGGGGATTCAAAGGTTAATACGTACAACATAGGGGATGTGTTGAGATTTAGATGGTGGTTGGAGGTCCGAGGTTTCCTGTTGACTACCTCCAACCACCATCTAAATCTCAATACATAGTGCCCACAGCGTCGAGTCACCTAGACTGGTGATCACATTGCAACATGATCGATAGCATTCGATCTGCACTAATAAGGACTAGACAAGCATGACATTGACCACCACCCAGTGATCAGTCGATTGTGATAGGGGATGTGTCATTACCCATAGTCCAGTCTCGTAAGGATCTAGGAGTGACAGTGAGTAATGATCTTAAGACGAAGGCCTATTCCCGGGAGGTTGCAGCCAAGGGGGTTCAAACTCCCTGGGCTTTAAAAAGGACATTCACTAAGTTAGATACTACCATGTTTACCACAGTATACACATCCTTAGTAAGAACAAAGTTAGATAAATGCTCTCAGGCTGTAAGCCACTGTTTAAAAGGTGACTCGGACATACTAGAAAAACTACAGAGGGCGGCTATCCGTTCAATTCCGGAACTCCGGGGTTTTTCATACAAAGAGAGGCTCGAAAAACTTTATCTCTTTACTCTGTCCTATCGCAGACTAAGGGGTGAGGATGATACAAGTATTCAGTGTTTGACAACGCTTCTATCAGTAACACCTAATATAATTTGTTCCCACCAAGAGAAATCAAAAGACAGAGTCGAGGAGATCGGCAAAGTGTATTTGGCGATAACCAATATATCAGAATTATCTGACCTAATCTGGCCAGCGAGTGCGATAGATGTTGAGCACAGCGTTACCACACGTGATCTGGTGCGGATGCATGACCGAGCGCCTTCAGCTAGATGAGTCAACTAAAACATATGGTCAGCATCCAATGTCGAAAACTTACAGAGCTATTTATATTAGGGATTTATTTACCGCTACAGGGGAGATCTAATTTTGATGTACAGAATACTGAGAAATGATTTCAGACCTAACTTATTCTCTCTCTTTCTTCCCACTAGATCAGGACACCTTAGAGGACATAGCAGGCGAGTAGAAAAGCCAAGAACGAACAATATACCCTTGGACACTCAAAGAAGCATAATAGAAAAGGAATAAAATAGACCGTAGGCCTTCTGTCCTTATTACACAAATCCGAATCTGAAATGTTTAACAGATATATTGGAGGAATATTTTTTTGCCTCCAGAAGTTTTACCTACTATATTTGTTACCTGTTTGATTGCAAAAATGTTTTTATTCATCAGAAGACTATATTATGAGATCATCGATTTGTCAACATGATATTAGACATTGGATGTTTTGTTTCACCTAGGAAAGACAAAGATTTAAACGCACTTTCTGTTACTGCGCTAGGCGGGTATGGTGTTGTTACCTCGTAAAAGTACCAATAAATTACATGCAAGAGAAATAGTGTGTGAAGGATCCAGATCAGTAAATTTTATATATTGGGTTTAATTTCCTTTTGAAGGACATAGAAGGCTACAAATTTTCATATGTACGGTATATATGTGTGACTATTTGTTGCGTTCTAACGGCTGGACTTCTACGGTTACTGTTTCACTGGTTTCCTCAGTGGATGCTTTGGTGTACCCACAAAACCTGTAGCCTTAAAGAGGCGGATAAGGTCATGATAAAGGTTTGAGTACAATTATTTTTAAACACATTCTGGGATTTAAAGGATATTTCTGGTATCCATATTCATAAAGTTCATTACCCTTCGAAGAAGTCAAGGTTAAGTTTACTTTGATTGATATTGTTGTTACGAATTGTGAGCTTTGAGATAAGTAAAATAAATCTTTTTTTTTCAATCAAGGCCACAGTGTGATAGTTCAACAACGGATGCTTTTTTCGAGAACCAGACAAAACACCCGTACATCATGCACAAAAAGTTAAAGTATATCTGGAACTTTGAGTCCGAAAAATTTGAGCCATTAGAGTGAGTGGAGTATATATATAAATCCGTAATATACGAAATTCGTATTTATAAAAGAAACTGAATACCATTTCGCAAATGTTTTTAGGAATCACTGTTTGCATTAGAAATATCAAAGGTACCTCTAATATTTTTTTGAGATTAAAACCTATGCTCAGCAACGCATGCATGTGTTCAAGGGGACTGTGTATTTTACACTTAAGTTCATTTTTTAATGAAGCGAGTATTTGTGAGCGTCCGCGTCATTGTTTTATGTATGTCTCCTTGGAGAAGCTGTCTGTGTGTTAATATCTTAGCTTAACACTTGAGGCTTTCAGCAAAGCATACTGCATGTTCACACTTTTACCTCAAATTCAGTAGTATGTAATCATAGCACATTCACACTGTTCGATACAAAATGACTGTGTATGATAGTTTCTAACTTTTGTATATGACCTGCATGTCGCATAATATATTTATTTGCCAGTAGTACAGTAATCGTCACTTTTTCAGAAGTTTCATGATTTTGTAATTTTATTCGATAGAGCATGTATTTTACAGGGTACATATCACAGCTTAAAGATTACTTTTATTTGCAGACAACCTAAGTTCGTTAGAATCTCGGGATTTAGCACTGATGAAACAATCGGAACCTATAGGCTTACACTTTCCAGAAACATAAATGTAACAGAATTTGTTGTGTCACGAAAAGATACCTCGTTTTGGTTTACTCAGGTAGTTGGATTTTCCCAAAATGATGCTAAACTTTGTTGTTTATTTTCCTTTAGATACTGGGATAAGCGTCTTTGCCATGAAGTATTAAATGCACAAGCCTTAACTACTGATCGAATCGAAACCCGTCGAAGCTTGTATGGAATTAATAAGATAGATATTAGCCTTACACCCATTATCAAGCTTGTTTTAAATGGAGTACGTTATTGAAAGTAGTATAAATTTTTTATGTTTTTGCTAATGGTTTTATAAGATGTGAAGGGAAAGTTGTAAGTTGCTCTGGATCTGATTCAAAAATATTGCACCTACAAAACAACATCCCCTGTTTATTTCAGATCTACAAAATACATTTGTAGCTATTAAAGTATAATGTAAGCCGCTGTGATGTTTATCTTAACTACTCTGTACATGCAAATACACAGATATTCAGTTTACAGACAAAAAAGTCAAGTTTTAATTTATAGGATTGTTTCATGCAGCTAATTATCATAGAGGGTTTTTAATGCTAATCACCCCTAAATATGTACTAGTAACTGATCATTTGCAAACAGGCAGGATTTGTACACTCGGTAAACTTTGATAACAAATCATGAAGATTTGTGCGTGAAACATACTGATAACATTATATCACTTGTATTCACTGATTCACGTACGAATCGTTTGTGTATACGACAAATATAGTATGCGAGACGAAAACTGACTGGTGTGTCGAGTTTTATGATGGTTTAAACTGTGATAAACAGTAGTATTAATTTTCGGCAATTTATCTTAGTAAACTCGTCATGGTTGTTTTTTGTTTCAGTGTCTAACTCCTTTTCACTGCTTTCAAGTATTCAGTTGCGTCATATGGTATTGCGTCGAATATGAAATATATGCGACATGTATTGTTGTGTTTTCGGTTGTATCGCTTATTTTTCAGGTTTACGAGCTCCGTAAGGTAAGAAAGATTGCACATGTTATACTTGTTTTTTTTGCTAAAAACCTTTCAACTGGCCAGATAGAAATTAAGATAAGGTTTCATAAATGTAAATGAAATTGTTTCTAAGCCTTTAGTATGCATGTTATGTCTTCTAACAAAATCACTTATGAATAAATAATGCTCAAAGTTTACTAGTTAGTTAAAACTACTGAATCTAACTAAATTAAGGTAAAAAGTTTCACTCTCTTTTGGATCCAACGTTATGTTAGTTATATCGCCCGGATACTACAGTCGAATTTGCTTTTGTGGATTTTGATCCTGTGTTTCATCTGTGGACATTCGACTACTTAGAACACTAGGTCATAACTTATTTTCTAGTTACCTGGATTAACATTTATGGGAATAAAGCAAGTCAAATTTTAAAGAGTAACTGTATCAATGTAGATGAAAATGAATAAATAGAAATAATATAACAGCCTAAACAAGCTCTGTAAAAAGCCGCAAATTAATAGTTAACTGTTTCTCGTCCTTGAGGAGCGTCGACTACAATTATGGTGTAGAATAGTGTTACAAAAGTAAAACGACCCCTAATTTATTTGAAATTTCACAGCAAGACGCTTATTTAATAGTGCCCATAACCAGCTCTCCTACCTCAACGCAAATTACGGTTTGACGAAAGACCGGATGAACCAAGCAAAGAACTAGTACCAATCGTTAGTATCTGAACGTAGCGGCGCCTATAGTTACAGGTCTGTCGATATAAGGGTTAGACTACTTGTGTGACCATCTGTAAAACGTTTACAGTAGCTCATCTGCATACATTTTTTGCCGCAATTAGTTTTTGGCTTTAGTTCCTCCTCATACTTCTCGTCTTTTATGAAATTTGTTCCTCTTGAAGTAAACTTTTATGTTTTATTTGCTACTGCAATTAACGTTATTTTACATCCTTTGTTTCGCCCTTTATTAATTATCAATCCTCATTTGCGGGCACAGGGTGTGACGATGCAGACCAATATACCTCTAACAGGTCTCATATCCTCTAGGACTAACTGCCGAAACTTTACTTAGTTCACTTACGTTGTTCAAATTTTGACTGTTTTTGTTTTAGCTACGTTATTGCACGAAAGCTCATATTTCCTGATAAGAAGTTCGTTTTTTATGAACAATATATGTAAAACATAGTTGAAAAATTCTAAAAGAGTTCCAGGGTCAAACACATCTGTTGAAGAACTATTTACTCAATGGATTTGGGTGTTGTCATAAACCTGAGAGACAATACACTAATATATATATATATATATATATATATATATATAATTTCGATCTTGATTCATGATCATATGTTCATCCCTAAGGTAACCAGATGATTGTCTGTTATTTATTTTGGAAAAATATTAGTTCAAAATTAACTCGACAGAGTTCACTATTCACGCAACTATAAACCAATCATATTTATATCGTCATTTTTCGGTTTTTGCTTGTCAATTTTTATTTTAATTAGATCAGTAAATTGGTTTGTTTAGCAGTTTCAACCTGCAGCTAAGTCCTGTTAAATACTGCTTAAGCGGAATAGGTAGCATCTTTAGCCACATTCTACATAATTAAATTTGTAACTTGTTTCGCTATTGATTATTTGGTAAATTCTGTAAAAGTGTGAGGCACTTTATGGCTCAGAATCATTAACATTTTCAGCACATGTGTTTTTTGGTCTCTGAATTCTTCATATACTGTTCATTTTCATCCTAATAACTACTTCAGTGTAGATGGAAGCTTGCTGTAATATGTAAATTATTGTTCAGAGATTCAGACGAAGCTTATTCTATTAAACGTTCGGGTTACAAAAAGGTTGTAAATTCTTTCGTAAAGATGAATTTGTGTCTTTTATGTATTTGGAATGATTTTCTAAAAACTGGATTGTTTGATATGTTGGGTCAATCATTAATGTATGGTATTCTTAGTGCTGAATACACACAAATTTTGTGCTACTTTCAGGTTATTTTTCACCTTGGTTAGTACTAATATCTTACGGTTGTATATAATATTTGTGACAAAATCACTTTCCGGACCCTTTTAGACAAACTGTCTGATACGCAACAAGTCGATTGCCAATTTTTAAAAAACAGCTGAAAAAGATTCAAATAACAAAGAAAAATGAGTTATTTATGTACATAATCGTCAATTTATAGCAATTAATTACGTATATAGTTTAAGACTACTTTACTATGCATTACTTTACATTAGTAACCACACCTACCCCTTTTCTGTTCTGAGTCGTCAAAGCTAAGCTAGAATGACAACCAGAGCACTTGTGTGCTCCGTCATCCGGGTTGGTGTCAATATACTGACTGATTTATGTGACTTTATATTAGACAACTGATTTCAAGATAATGAAATCGTTAATAAACGTTAATAAACGTCCATGTTTAGATCCGAACTCTGCCTATGAATGTTGGTCCATGAGAGTTACAAAGAACGAACTCTAATATTTATTTCGATTTTTTGAAAGAGTTTAACGGAGTGGTCTTGTTTTATAGTTACACCACACACAAAATTCAGGATTTGCCCGGAGAATCTTAGTAGATTGTTTAAAAGGACATTGGCGTCTAGGTCAAAAGTTTTAAATATATTTTTTAATATGTGAGTAAAGCTTTTCATCGTTCTTTTAGGTAGCCAAGCAACAGCTCGGTAATATAATACATGTATATTACGCCACATTTTTAACTTGACTTCGCTTACCTAGGAGGTCATGTATACACCAATTTAGTAGTCATTTTAGAAATAAAATTGTTACTACTTTTGTAGCGGTTAGATACTGTGGTAAATCATGAATGATTTGATTAGACTGCAAAATACTTCCAGAGCAACTGTAGAATTGAAGGTTGCTTGTATGATAAATTTGCTTAGTTTTATTTGAGAGTCATTAGGCTGAGGGTAACTTTGTTCAAAACGTTGGCTTTTAAGTTCATGTATTCAAATACGAGAATGATATTTACTGCAACCTCTGTAAGATTAAAAATGACTTTCAATAAGTTTTATCTTCTTTATGTTGTAAATTTATCGAACCCAAGTCAACTTTTACTATTTAACTAACTGGAATAAAGTTGTCTCTGTTCGTTTTTATATCAATCGATACGAAACTATCCAATAATGTCTAAGTACAGAAAGAAGCAAGTTTCTGTTTTTATATTGACTAGCGTGAATTAATGGAAGCTACAGTCATTTACTTTGCGTCTTTTGTACATTGCAAAAGGATTAAGCTTTTACTCCTATTATTTCAAGAGCACAGGGGTGTATTTATGTATAACTTATTATTAACGTTGGAAATATTTCGATGAATGCTCGTTTTTGATAGAAACGTTTGCCAATTTATATAAATTAACTATAAAATAACTTTATACTTTTACGGTTAACATATTTTTATATCGACAAAAGTTTTTGTGATTGAACTCATTGAATGAGTTTAATTAAGATATAATATCGTTTCATTCTTTATCCAACGAATTAGAATGAACGCGCTCTAAAGAGAACTGTATGCGTTTCATCTAAAGTTGGTGTGTGCAGACGTTATGACGGAAAGGATGGTAAGTACAAGAAAATTTCGAAAGCTAATTTGTAACACTAAAATCTACATGCATTTTTAATGTGCCTAAAATTGACTTAGTTTTATCAAAACTTTTGAAGTACATAAGCGTTACCGTTGTCGCACTTTAGGTAGCCATTCCAAAACACTGACAGAAGTTTAGAAAATGAAATAAACAATTTGCGTGCTACATTTTTATTTGATGAGGTAGAGAGATTGGTTTTATTTGACTGTTGAAATATTTACATACGGGACTTCATTTATGAAAAGTGTTTTTATGATTATTTTTAAGAATTTGCTTTTGAAATAGTTGTATGTGATATTTCTTATGAAAATTTTAATGATTGTAGGAGCAGAAAAAATCAGATATGTTGACGCCTGACTTTCTATGTTGATTCTGTCAAGTAAATTTAGATAATTGCGCAGATATATTAAAATATTTCACTAATCTGACGATTAGAAACATCGTTCTACTGTAGGCTTCTGTCTGTGTTCAACAAAATGTACATAATTAAAAGCTTACATGATGTAGAGAGTAGCAAGTGATTTGTCTTACAAAATGTGTATCCGAATTTAACTCTGTATTTATATGTTTTCATCTGTGTTTGCGGGGTACACTGAATTTATTTCACTGAAGGAATAGAAGTGAATGTTCTTCTTACTGGCTTCATAACATTAGCTAACCTGAAAACGCTAATTTCCTCAAGTAAATGCTACTTGTTATTTTCACTTTGACTCTAGGAAGCAACAAGTGTTGATTCAACAAGTCTAGGGGAAACGATTTATGTATATTTTTGTTTTCTAACGATTAGATTTCATGCTTGTCGATTCAACCGAATTGGTACCAGGAGATTTAATTGCCATTCCGAGTAGTGGATGTTTGATGCAATGTGATGCAGTATTACTGACGGGGAACTGTATCGTGAATGAAAGTAGCTTAACAGGTAGGTCTAAAAAATTGCCTTGATCTCAAGTTCATTATGGAAGTTTAAAATCGTCTTATTCATTAGGGTTCTGGATTTTTTTTCATTTTTAAACTGAAAACGTAGCTTTATCCTTGCTGGTAAAATGCTACAATAGTGTTTACAAAAAGATATAGAAGTAGACCGGTATTTCGAGAAGCCTGTTTTCACAGTTTATATATATATATATATATATATATATATATATATATATATATATATATCAGTTGTATAACCGTCCAGTATCTAAATCATAAATATATGTATTCCTTTAATTATAAGCTTCATTTTTAACCTATATATTATTATTATCATTAAACGATTTGCTGTTCTTAAGTTATGTTCAGTTTATTGATTTCAGTCTCTCACGTTCACAGCCACTTTTTGACTTGATCTTGTATAACTATTATTTCCAATTTTATGGTGTGATGGCGCCTGTTCGGCTGGTATGTAAGCCAAGCATATTTGAAATAAATGATTCACATAGCGGAAGCTGTTATTGGTGTTCTGGATTTAACTGGGCGGGCTAGGAGTACAAAGGACCAATAAGGATGCTAGGCTACTCAAGCCGGTCGAACATCACAGGTTTAGCATAATACTAGGATTGGATAAGTTGTATTTCGATTGACGAATAAATCGTGTGATAACAAGCCGGGCTTAAAAAATGTTATGACTTGTGGCTTTGTGCCCCAATAATATATAACGTAATGATACCGCCGATAAGAGAACAATGACTTATCGACCGAACCAATGACAGGTAAACCCGTACGAACATTCTGGAGTGCTTATCGATCCTTCTTCCTACCTAGCCCTGCCTGCTGAGTCCAGAACACTAATATCAGCTTCTTCAGTATGAATCATGTGTTTCAAACCAAACAGACCATATCTCACCACAAAATAGAAAACAAAATTTGTAAAAGATCTAGCCTAAGGTGGCTGGGAATGTGGGAGACTGTAATTAATAGACTGTGCATAACTCAAGAGCGGTAAACCATATAATAATAGTCTATGGGTCCAAATAAAGCTTATGATAAGAGTAACATGAATATGCATAGTTTAGCTGCTTAAAAATTATACGACAAAATATATGTATGGTATTGGTCCATAAATAGTTTTCAAAAGTTACCACTCATAATTCTCTTCGAGATATAACAAAAGCACAACAGTAGTAGTCGCAGCTGGTTAATTTTAATACTTGATTGTGTGATCTTAACCGTATCGAAAGACATTTAACTAAGTACTACAGTGTCTGAGCTCATCAAACAGATAATGAGGACCGGGTGCTTCTACTGTCTAGTTTTAGCGGGAACCAACTTTAAACACAACAAAAGAAATCGCACATCTAAAAACCACTCGATAATTAAAAAAAACAAGAGTGTATTACAGTAACGATTGGAGAAGCAGTTAGTCGATCATCAAAGTAATTTTCAGTCCTATGTATGCTGGCTCGATACCTGAATAGTTGTAAAAGCCATGTTGATATCTACTAGGGATATAAGCCAAAAGTCGAAGAGATATCTGTGGGTTTCGGTGGCGTTTATATAACTCATAGATGCTCGAAAGCTCATCGCGTTAAGATCTGAACACGATAAGTAGCGAAAGCAACTAAAATTTAGGTTGACAAGAGGATTATGTTCGATTGTGAGTGGTGTGGGGCAGCAAGTTTAGAGAACGAAAAAGACTGCGGCGAAAGGTAACAGCAGGAAACTTTCCAGACTTATCAAAAACTTGCATTCAGGAAGTCAGGTATCAGTGAGACTACATCCAAAATAGATGGAACCATAGTCTTCTTTCAGTTCAGACTATTAGAATGATGTGCAAAACATATTAAAGAACAGTTTAATTGTTTTCCACTTAGCACTGCAAAACAACCAGGATGGGAGATTGAGCTTATCTACCCGACTGTTATTAAATTCAAAAAAGCAATAGCTAGTCTTAAGCGAGAATACACAGCGCATCTCGATGGATTAGCCTCGAAGAATCTTAAAGATAATGGTCAAGTTTTGGCAGTTAGATTGATAGATATATCGACCAAAATCTGGAGGCGGAATCTTTTAAGTCTAGAAGAAAGACAGAAATCCTCTTTCGATAATCACAGAGGACACAGTTTGTCTGGTATAATTTCTGAAATACTAAGCTCGACAATCACCTAATAGTTAAGTAGGGCTTTTATAGAGCAAACCAGGAAGAAGCACCGGGTTGATTTCAGAAATCAACGTGAGTGTATAGACAAAATGTTTACCCTTTGTCTGGCTCTGGATCACAGAAATACCTGACGAGATCTGATTCTAATGATATTTATTGACCCCAAGGCAGCGTTTGACCCAGTTGACATATATTTTATGGGAATGGCTGTCATTAAAAGTCATACCAAAGAGGTACACAGACCTTGTTAACGTTTTTTATTACAACACTACTGATAGAGTCACGGTTCATGACGAACACATATAAACTGAATGCTACAACAACAACAACTACTACTACTACTACTACTTACCTTTGTGGATAAATGTGATCATCATGTGATTACTATCGTATTACTAGATTCTTAGAGATTTACCTGACTCAAAAGTAACTTGGAAATGTAAGTAGTGCAGTTGCTTACTTTTAGAAAAGAGTACATTTAAATTACTTTTATCATCACCAGATGATAATATATTTAAGGTAGCTGTTTTGTTCGGCGTCGGTAGTGCAACCAATCAAAATTCATGCATTTCCATGTATAATATACTGTTGTATTCTAGGTTAGTTTTAAATTATCAACTCGTTTCCAAGCTCTTATGAACGTTAGCAATATAGGCACAACTTGTACGGTATATGAATATCAAGCCGTATTGTTCCTGGATGAGAATAGGGTTATTACAGCGATTTATTTTTAATATACATAACACCGATCATAATAAAATTTGTACAACTTTTATTTGGGAAACAGCGTTGTATGTAATCTGTTACTAATATACCTGATACAAAAGAATGAGGAATCATTTACAATAATCAGTCAAATATGATTTGTGTTTCAGGTTAAATTTCTGGCCTTTTTAATAAAAATTTAAATCAAATTAGACTCATAACCTTGATAAATTTTGTTAGTTCTATTCTCTTCTTATTAGTTTGAGTGGCCTTGTGTTTTGTAAAATTGTGGTCACTTGTACACATTTGTGCAGAATCTACTGTGTTTGATTAATTTTCATATGTGGGCACGTTGAAATGTTTGTAATTCCGAGGTTTGGAATCCTCTTTATATGATTGTATGTGCAATTGAATGAACTGTTGTTTGTACAAGTAATTTAGTTGTTTGAAATAATCATATAAGTATTTATAAAAAGATTTTCGTTATTATCTCACCATCCGTATCAATGAAGATAATAAGAACGCATTAAATGTTTACCATAATCAAGTGTTATAGCGAAGAAATAAGAAATATATGTAAAGAACTAAATTGATTCATTCTAATCATATAGTGTTTTATTGAAGGCAATACAAAACTACAAATATGAATTCATTTAATTTTTAAATCTCTTCTCCATCGCTCAAAAAATGCATGAAATTTAAGCTTTAGTTTTTCCATCAATGGAAATAAATCACTTACATGAAGCTTCTCTTAAAGTAATCAATTAAAATATGTGCTAACTGGTTATCGTAAATGTTTTATTGAATATCAGGTGAAAGTCTTCCGATTACAAAAATCCCACTGCCCAATGGACAATATGAAAATACCACATTTGATTTTCGTTCATGCCCACGACATATTCTCTTCAGTGGCACATCTGTCATTCAGACACGTGGTGATATAAATAAGCGTGTTTTGGCTGTAGTTATCCGAACGGGATTTATGACCACTAAAGGAGAACTTGTGCGGTCTATCATGTTTCCGAAACCTATGAAATTTAAATTTACTCAGGATGTTTATCAGTTTTTGGGAGCTCTTTGTGGAGTGGCACTTGTTAGTCTATGTGTCACTATTTATCTCATGGTAAGTTCCTAATAGCTTTTATTACTAGTTTAATTCTAAGTATAAGAACAATAAAGTCAAAAATAATGTTTCCAGTAGTTATTGTCATCTGATTTGTAGTGTTTCTTGACATTAGAGCTGTCTTCGTTTCGTTGAACAGGACAATTCTCTGGGATTGTCTATTGAAAAAGGGTGTGCCTGAGAAGTTTATTAACATCTCGAAAGCCTTATATACTAACACCTCACGTAGAATGAGGATATACAACCGAATCTCTCCATCGTTTCGTCCAAGCAGTGGGGTTAGGCAGGGTTTCCTCATCCTACCATTCCTCTTCAACTTTGCTATCCATGACGTTCTGGAAACAGTTTTGATGGATGTAGATAATAATGGTGTGGATCTGTCATTTGAAGTAAGACTTTCCGACACTGAATATGCGGATGATATTGTCTTACTGTACGATAATACCTAATCCATGCAATCCGCACTTAATCAGTTAGCAATCAGTGTCCGTAGTTATGGCATGTGCTATGCACCATCGGAGTGCAAAGTACTTTTGCTGGACCGACAGGACTCTGATCCTGCACTCACTCTGGGTAGTGATCAGATAAAAGTAGTCGAGAAGTTTGTTTATCTAGGTAGCTGCATAAATGCTAGTGGTGGCGTGAGTGCTGAAACCAATTCACGTATAGTGAAAGTCAGATCGGCTTATGTCAATCTGGGCCACTTTTGGCGCATTCATGATGTTAGTATGGTTGTAAAACGTTGGATCTACAACGCGTCGGTGAGGGCAGCTTTTCTTCACGCTTGTGAAACCTGGCCTCTTCGAGATGAGGATGTTAGACGAATCTCTGTTTGATCATCATTGTCTCCGAAGGATTGCTGACATCCAGTGGCAACACCATGTTAGTAATCCAGAGATTCGGCATTGTGTGTTCGGGCACAGAGACGATAATCCAATTGGTGTCACCATCTTGAAACATCGACTTCGGTGGCTTGGACAAGTTCTACAAATGTCGTCCCAGAGAATTCCACGTCGTCACTTAGTGTCACTATCTTGAAATACTGACTCTCGTGACTTGGATATGTCTTACGAATGTCGTTCCGACTATTATTATTTCACTCTCATACACTAATTTCTGTTCGTTTTTGTTCTCTTTTTTCTTGTGTGCACTTTACATCCTTTATCTCTTCACATTCTGTTTGTTTTTGTACGGCACATATGTATTTGGTGTCCCCTTGTACCGATATTGATGTGTTCACATAAATAAATAATGAATACAATTGGAAAAATCCTATTGATTTTATGAATGGTCAAAATATATTACGCAGTACTTTTGAGTGCACTCTACAAAATCAAGTAATATGATCCTATATCTTGTTCCACACATATTATTATCATCATAATCGTAATCTTCAGTTATGGTTTAACCCATTTGCGGAAGAAATTCCATAGTTTATTTGTATGAATAATAAAATTGCTTTTGAAATGTTGATTTCCCTAAAAAGGTTGACAAATCTTTGTTTGTTCCTTGAAAACATTCGGTTTACTTTAGACCTCAAGTGATATGTAACTAAAGATCGTATCACGTATTCTAACATCGTTACACTGAAATATATTTCTACCAGTTCTGTAGTTTAATTCTACGCACTTATTAATAAATAGTTGATGCAATTGGTTCCCTTTACGAATTTAAATAAAGCAAGAACAAATAATGGTGCAGAATCACAGAATAAACTCTGCGTTGAAAGTCACCTACCCAGCAGCAAAACTTATGACAGTATGGTAAACGAACTGCTCACTTCAACAAACCAAAATCGACAAGCCTTCTTTCCTTAGTAGCTCCAACTGCATCTACCAATTCACATGTACGTGCCAAAGCACATACATTGGAAGAACTGAGAGAAGATTGCATGTCCGCATTTCTGAGCATGTTCCAAAAAACTTGAGGCTGCGAGGGAATAAGGCCTTCAACAGCGCAATAGCTCGACATCTACTTGACACCGGGCACACCATCGAGATTCCACATGCTTTCAAAATTATCAATAGACAAAGAAGTACGACCACCCTCCGTTTTGCTGAAGCCATCATGAGCAAAAACTAAAACCTGACTTATGCATCCAAAAAGAGACTTTAATTAACTTATCACTACCCTGGTAACCCCTTTTTATTTTATTTATTTATTTATTTTAAAATATTTATACTCCTCCCCTATTACATAATTCTTAAACCACATTATCATTCACACATTTCCGCCACCTGATCCTCTTAAATTATCTTAACTTTTCAAATTCTATTTTATTATTATAACGTAACCTATCCTATAATTACTCAATTCCATTATTACACCACCCAACCCCAATTAATTCCTTTTGACCTCGGACCTGTTCTAGCGTATATAAATAAATAAATAAATATATATATATATATATATATATATATATATATATATATATATATATATATAATTATTGTAACCCAGTTATTTACACTCAACTATGTCAATTGTTTTCACTATATCTCAATGTAAAAATTCTATCACAATTTTGGTTTGTAAGCAGCTGACGAGAAACATCGAAATGATATGAATTCATACTATTCTGCACCATTATTTGTTCTTGCTTTATTTAAATAAATATTTGATTCTGCTAAATATTACACTTACAGTTTTTGATATGTTTTGGATTGTGTATAGAAGCGGAATAGAGAAATCGTATTTTCTTTTACTTGGAAATTGTCGATTGAATATGTATACATTCCATAGTTTGCACTCTGAATTGGACTCTGATCGAATTCTGTTCTGAAAATCAGCAACGAGCAAATACAAATGATTACATGTACAACGTTTGTTTGGCTTCTCTATAGTATGTCAAACAATGGATTACTTTACATCTGATAATTTGTTATGAGTAACTTTTTAAAAATTAAAGGTTTCATAGCGGTTTCTTCATTGCTAGCAATGAAGTTAGTATTGAAGTAGCCATTTGACTTCAAGTGGAGAACGTGTTTTTTTTCGGTGTTGGGTATAATCTGTAACCAAACATCGTAAAGTTAACCTGATAAATATTTCTAAAGCTGCAAAATGTTGCATTAATATTCTCGTTTCCTTTTGTGCTAAATCTGTGTACCATTATTGGATTAATTGTAAATGGATTGTCATTTAAACACTGGATTTACTTAATAACTCATTACAATTTATCTCTTTTTATAAGGTTCATTTTGCAAATCTTTTTTAAATTTTAAATGTTGATTTCAACTAGTATTGGAATAAGAAGGAGTTGTACTATATTATTTTGAGACCTTTGGACATAGTAACAATTGTGATACCACCTGTTCTGCCAGTGGCGATGAGTGTTGGAATCGTTTTCGCTCAACGGCGACTTCGTAATCACGGTATTTATTGTATAAATCCAAACGTTATTAATGTTTGTGGTGTGATTAATCTCACCTGTTTTGATAAGGTTTGTGGGTGTATATTACATTTTGTATTCTTCTTAGATATATCGTTTTTATTTTGTTTATCCGTTTATTTGTTTTAATGATGAGTTTGATCGATTTTTTTCACGAAGTTATCGGAATATTGTATTACGATGAAGCAAAAACAAATTACTCAGAAGAAAATATACGTGCTGGAAATTGGAGATGAGTTATTGTTCTGCATTTGTAGTCCAATAGGAGCCTACGTTTTCTGGCTTGTTTTGTAAAGAAGTGGGAACATGAAGTCTTCAACTTTCAAACAATGAATGGAATATAGTTTCGCACGTCTGAGATTCAGTTTAATTATATTTCTAAACAGCACTCTGGCATAATGTGGTAAACGAGCAACAAAATTAAAAAAAGGAGAACCTTGCTAGCTGACATTTCATAATCCGCATCTCTTACTGACATTTGGAATGAACAAAATGATGAGAAACAATCAACAACCCACCATAATAGCATTATTGAATGTTGAGCTGTTCATAATCTGCAGAATGAAAAGTAGTAAACATGCTAGCATTGTTGCAGTCAAACTGCGATCATGTCACCAAAGTTTCTAAATTCGTAGAGATCACACACTTTTGACAAGGATTTGATGAGCTGATTTTCCGATGACAAACTTTAGTTTGTTTATCATGTGGGTTTTGTATCCAACTACCAGTTTAAACATTGGTTAATGATAGATCACAACACCATCGATTGATTTATCGCCTTTACTAAGACCATTTGACATGAATGCAGAAAGTCACGAAGGACGTGTATTTTAGCACATCTGGATGGTGACCTTATTTGAAAAATCATGTGTGTAAAAGAGTACTTAAATTTCAAATGTTGAAATTGGATATGTTGATAGGGGAAAATTCTGATGGAAAGTGTTTAGCAGACGAAACTCGTTCACTCGTTGGTTTTATTTTAAACATCAAACTTTTCTATAAAGCACATGAATTCTACTCTGTGTACGTCTTTGACTTTTCGAAAAGAAACCAAGTTGTAGAGTGAATTGATGAAAATGCGTTAACTTGTTTTTTGCTCCCATGTTTGTATGGCAAAGAACTCGGTTGTTTTAAAATACAAATTTATACCTAACTATCTAAGTTTCCAAATATCTTAAATATTTAATTTTAATTATTTACGTAGAATGTGTAAATATCACGTTGCGTGATCCTGATCATTTCAGTGGCTTGGTATTTTTTCATCGAACAACTGATGTTTCAGTCTAGTATTAAAATCATAGAAGATTGATGTATTACACAGGAAGTTAAAATAAACGCGTTATCAAACTATTAGAGGGTAGTTAGTAAGTCGTATTGAAATTCGGAACTTCCGAATTCTCTAGGAAACTCAATAAACAAATAGAAACTTATGAATTTTGAGAATAAAGCATGAAGCGATATAAATTTCAGTAAAGTTATTTGTATGCAACACCCTTTAAAAAGTATAAAACTGTTCTTTAATAGTACTTTTATAATACTTTCAGTTTTGCTTCAGAATTTTTAAAATACCAAGATTTTGTTAGTTTTCTTCCCTTAAATCCATAAACCTAAGTTTATCTGGTACAATGAACTATAATGTTTAGAATGATATGATTTATTTTCTCATTTTAATGTTATGTATTCCCTGAACACTAATCTCTTCTTACAGAGATTGTACTATTTTTAAAATATTGCATTTTATATACGTCATGTGTACTAGTTGACATAATATGGTTTAGCTAGCTGTTTGTCGGTGGCATCACTACTAAAAGTCTCAATGCACGAATAACGTGGTGAATGTTTTATTGTGATTGACTGTACTGTTATATCCGTTTAGTTTAAAATGATTACCACTATATTTGTACTGTTGGTTGTTTCACCGCTAAAATTATATCGTACAGTTTATAATACAGATAAATTGATTTGAAGATAGCACTTAGCGTTTCATTTAAAGTCACTGTTCATAGTTATCCCACTGTTTCACATGACAAACAGTGCTTTGTTCATCTTGAATTAATGCGTCAAACACTGTTCTTGGAGAAAAATGTATTTAATCTAATTATTTCTTTCGATAAAAATTATATTTCAAACAGCAAGTTTTAAAATATAAATGTGGAACATTAGTGAATGAATGATCCACTATATATCCCAACATTTTAGTTACTGCATCTGTCAATACATTTCGAACTGAATTTTTCATTAACTAAGCAACATCAAAGTTAGTTGTTTTTCAAAAGAAATAGTTAAATCTTCGAATAGTTTGTTGTTTAATGCTCTTGATTATCTTTTTTTGTGATATTAGACTGGTACTCTCACTGAAGATGGGTTGGATTTGTGGGGTGTCGTCCCAAACAGAGATGGAGTTCTTGAAAAGCCTGAATTCGAACCATCAAAGTTAGGTTATGGACCTTTGATTGAATGCATGGCTACTTGTCATTCACTGACTCGGATTGATGGCGTCTTATCGGGTGACCCCTTGGATGTGAAAATGTTCCAGTCTACCAAATGGGTAGGTTTTATATATCCGAATGGTTAGAGTAATTTATACATAAACTTCATATTTTGAAGAGACAAATATACGTACGTGATTTGCGTTCATTTCAATGTTGAGTAATACACGTTTACAAATATTTATGTCAGAAGTCACTGCATCTACACTAGTGATCTGATTTCGAGATCTCGTAACTGAACTCAGAACATTACTGAAATTATTCACTCGATGTTATTTAGCTATTGTAGTGCCCCTATTATTCTCACCTTATTGAGAACTACAATTATACTGAGTCTTTTACTTTTTTCATAATTATGGATAAGCTCACAATAACTGGATTCCATTTGTTCCCTGTATTTCAATCGTTGGATGTAACGGTTTTACAGGAATTAGAATAAATGCCTTTAGAATCATTTGTTGCGTTGACGTTTGATGAATGCAGCTGACAGATGTGATGTATAGTTTCCACAAAAATTTATCTTGAAAGATCAGCGTTTAAATAGAAGCATGTTAACCGGTGACCTCGATGTTCTACGTAGATGAAGGGATGATGTTGAGGGCGATTCGGCTCTATTTATTCACAAATTTATGCCTGTACAGCAATGCCAATGATTGTCAGGTACGATTTATTTTCACCCATAAGCCATTTCTTACTTCATGCTTGGTGTTTACCAAGATAATAACGTCACTTATAAAGTTCACTCTGTGGTTTTATTTTCTGGCGAAAATTGTTATTTGCTCCTTTAATTGTGTCTGAATTTATAATCAAAGTAGTTCCCTAAGTAGACTTTTGCCTTGCAGGCGATACTCTTACCTCTCTATCTACTCATTTTAGTTGAATTTGAATTGAATAAGTATTGAGCAGAACGTGGCAGCTGGATTCCTAACGAAGATATTTATTGCATGATAACATGTAGAAGAAGAAATGACATATTGTTTCAACATTGTACTTTTTCAATATTTATTTTTATGTTTATTTGATAAGCAAGTAGAATTAACTGTACGGTGTTGCACAGTTAACACCGATAGTGTCACAGTATCTCTTAGTATTGATCGTTGGGATCAGTTGAGCGTTTTACAAGTGGGTTTACTTCGCATTTATGTACTAACTTGTGAGTGCAATACGTTAATAACCGTGGAGGTTGAATTACATTATGTGGTTGGAACATTACTATTTTGTGAAGCATTTGTTTGTTATAACAGCCAATGAAACGTATTTCTAATCGTTATTTGTAGCTCTTACAGTTCTCCCAGTGTTGTTTATATACTTTCAAAGAAAATGTGGCTTATTATTTTTACTTTTCACATTTACCTGATTACTGCTGATTTAGTTTACACTGCATAATTTGCATTTTCGTCTGTTTCTGTCATGAGGAAGCAACAGAATGGAGCAAACAGTGAAAATCAGGGACATTTTCTTCGATCTTTCACTTTGCAGCGGTGTAGAAATTCATATTGTATGTTTTTCTGACTGGATGATAACCTACCTCCTTGCCAAAAATTTATTTTCATAAACGTTTTCTGAATATGGGATAACTATAAAGGTATTACAAAGGATCTATGAATATTCCTGAATATTCTAAGTACATGTCCTAATAGTGTACAAAACGTAGACCATATTTTGACATTTCGCGAACTATTTGTTGAGATTGTTGCATTCTATATTGTGCAAAAGAAATATATCACATCAAAACACTATTTAAATCAGTCTTGTAAAAGACAGCACAGAGCATCAGGTTATAAAATAACTGTGAATATATTCGAGCTGGATACGTGTCACAAAAACGTGCTTCAGAGTCAAGAACTGTTTGTAGTGTTTAAATTGTCTTGTACTGGTGAAGGTGTACAGATTGTTTAGGTTGTTTTCATTTCTCTTAAATAAACATTTTTGTTAGCTAAACATTATTACTCTAATCTAAATGTCCATAAAGCTGTAAATCGAATTTCATCTCTATTTACTGGCACATTATCGATCTTTGGTTGATAGGAGTTTATCGAAGTTACTTCGGAAGATCAACATAATTTTGATTTAGTTATATCGGCAATAGTACGTCCCAAGGAGGATGAATGTGGTGATACATTTAAAGTAAGTCTCAGTTTCAGGCAAAAAGTTTAGCTCATATTGTTAATTTGTCTTCCCTAATAACGATTCCCTATTCATTGATGAAAAGGTTTTAATATTATCCATTTGGCGCCTTTCCCCCACTTTTTTTATTTCCCAGGACCATCTAAAGTTGATCTATCGACTCTGTGTCAGGAGTTTTGTTATGATGACGTAAATGTTCACTGTCTACTCAAAAATCAACATGTAGAAGCTTCCCCTTAGGTATTCTTTTGTAAAACTAGGTTTTCACATAAGCTTTCGATATGGCCATGTATAACTAAAAATCCCCCTCTATTTCTCCGTGAAAAATTCAAAGTGTCTGTGTATGAAATAGGAATAAAGTATATGTGCTTTTAATCTTTACCAAAGCAACTTATTAATAAATATGCTGCTAATTTGAAATGATTGACTAATCTGATATACGTCCTTAAAAGGATCGCTATTTATTCATAGGTATTTGATATTCACTTTGCAAGCATGAACAACTATTCAACCTCCTACGAAAAATTAGACTGGGCCCACCAGTGAAGACGATTTTCTGACCGACTTCAAGAAGAAAGAATCTTTCAGAATATAAGATGTAAATAAATCAAAAGTAGCTTGTTCTTAAAGTACATTTTTACTGTAGGTTATTTTTCATAGGTTGTAATCTAAACTTAATGACTAGTTTATATGCATTTCGTTTTTAGAAGATACCATATGAGATCGGTATAGTACGTCAGTTTCCTTTCAGTTCGTCCGTACAACGGATGTCTGTGATAACACGTACTTTAAATGAATCTCAATTTCATATATATACAAAGGGCGCTCCCGAGACAATCGAAGTTTTGTGTCGACGTGATACAAGTAAATAACCACTTTGATGTATGAACACATATTGTGTTATTTTATAGTTTTTACAAATTGTATTTCCTTTATTTTGAAAATATTAAGAAGGAAGTGCGCATGGCAAATCTAACTATATAGAAGTAAAGCCAACCGCATTCGAAAGTGTACACGAGTTACGTGTAAATGTGGAAGTTCTTAGCTTATACAATTCTTATCATCAGATAACGCATTGAACCTCCAATGTATGAAACGTTATTTTCTGAAATATCATCAGGCTGTTTATTTTGTCGCTGATAATTTGTAATTCAGTTTACGAGGGCACAATAATCGTCTAATTGAAATAGTTGTTTTCATCATAAGTAAGCTAAACGTTTAAGCCAAACTATATTCTTCTGATAGATTAAATGATCCCATTTTTTATTAAAACAGGAATATTTTAATGATTATAGCACAAAAGTTGAATTATAAATTGATACTTTCAATCAAATTCGTTTCAGTATACCTACGTTTTTAAGTTTACTATTGTACTTAACAGTAGTTTCTAGGTTCGTGTGATTAAAAATCGCTGTCATATACTCATTTGGAGTTTTGAGAATTATAGCGTATTTATAGCATTGGTTATTCGAATTTCCGTTTGATATTTTTCCATGTACTAAAGTAAATCGCAATAAATCTCTTGAAAATGTATCTGCTTGTTGTAATATGATCATTACAGCTAATTTGACTTATTGTTTGTTTTACAGTAGCCCTGTACCTACACTTATTAGCAGCAAATAATGATAATTCATGAATTAAACATATAACACGTAACAGTAAATGTTTATTAAGAATCATGTATTATAATTTATTATAATGAGTATTGTTGAATAAACGTTTCTGTTGCAGTACCTACTAATTTCCACTCAAATTTGTTGGAATTCACTCGAGAAGGCTTTCGCGTTCTGGCATTGGCTTGGCGACCTATCAAGGCATCATATTTACGTATTATGCGCATATCGCGTGACCGAGTTGAGCATAATCTTTTGTTCCTGGGACTACTGGTGATGGAAAATCGACTGAAACCTGAGTCTGGTCCGGTTATTAAAACTCTACGCCAAGCGAATATACGACCGGTTATGGTAACAGGTGATTTCATTAGTGTTTGCTCCCAAGTATCATTTTAGGCAAATACCTGATTAAATTTTGACTACGTATGAGTGGGACACCAACAGTCTATCTCACTATAGGAAACATAAACATTATGGTGGAATAGATAGCGAAAGGTTGTACAGTCAATAGATAAATCAACAAGAGATACAGTCTAATACCGAAAACAACCGAGGTCGATTATGTTCAGTTAGAAAGATGCACCTTGCTTTTGTGAGGTATATAATTGAATACCATGAGGAAATCAGTGCTAGGTTTTATTCTGAGCCATATATGACTGTCTTGGATCAGTGAATTTTGTACTATGAAAGATACCACTTTATTAACTTTCTTTTCTTTTTATTCACTCAGTACAAAAGTCTGTGAATTATGGACGGTATTAAAGCTGCTGTAACGACATTCATAAAATAGGTTAAAGTTACTGAAGCGAAAATTCGAGACGATGATACCAAATAAGTTGTAATGATTAGGCCTGAATACATTGCCGAAAGTCATCATCACTTGTATGTGTTTACCACCAGAAGCAAGCAGTCAATCGGAGATAATGATGACGGGATACGGAAAATCGCCAAATATCGTCAATTGAAAAAGACGGCTGAACAGAAATAAAGGTATAAACCGTTTTCTGAGAAACCAGTGTCAGGACGTTACTAAAGATGGTCCTCTTAAGACGGCATATAGAAAAACGTTTGCAGTGCTAAATGACTCAAACTGAAGCAGACGATTGTCTTAAAGGTTTTCAACTTATCTTTTTGGACCATTTATCTCCACCAACCTGGTTTAAGTAGTGAATGTTCCTCCTCATTTCTCCTTTAATAATAATTATTATTTATATTCTGAAAATAATAGTTACAGAATTCACACCAGTTTACAGGCATGATCAATTTGACATAAATAGTAACATTAAATGTACAGAACAAACATGTGATAGAAGAAAGTTTTAGGTATACTAGTTCAGTGATTGTTTAGATAGTACATGTATTACATCGATCCAATGCATCAGCCGGGAATTTTTAATATTTCTTAAATGGACAGCCCATTGATTTGTGAACGGAGTAATTATAGTCATTTCGTGTTCCAGATCGAATTGATGATAATTATCTACAACTAGAGAGATTAAAACGAAAACAGAGAGCACGGAACAACAAAGCAGTAATTACCAAAATATGTCAGTCAGGTCTACCAAAATGCATATGTTATGTGACACAGTGATATACTGTTGATGTTTGTTAAACTTTCTGGGACTTATCCAGACATGTGAAGGTTCTGTGGCTCTATTGGAATGGCCAGCCATGTGAGCTTATTTCTGGAGGAATGTTAAACTCTTACCTAGTTTGTTTGTACTGCTCGATATGACAACAAGTAGATTCGTGAAGAATCTTATTATTCAAAGAGGGCATGTGTGTCCAACTGATATTGGCTGATGAATTATTGAAATGCAAACCTAAATAATTACTTTGCCCTATTTTAGAATTAATCAGTATTCCGGATCATCTTGGTAAACACGACATAGTTTAGTCTCTGAATCTAGTGGTAAATGCTTGAAACTTGACTACTTTGATCCACAAATTCTTGTACAAAGTTTGAGAGATATTGGTTAATAAGGTTATTTATTTTTATTTTTATATGCTCTGAATTACCTTCAGGCAAACGTACTTGTACCGTAAGTATGACAATAATAATCTAAATAACCATGAGGTCATAATTGCCTTCTTAACTCTTGGCATTTTGAACATCAGAGTATTTTGTTAGATCTTTTTGGGATAAAAGTGTCGATATAACAGTATGAATAGATCTGAATTTATAAATAAATTGGTATAAATTGTTTTATAGAAATGGACAGTAGTAGTGATACAGATCAAAGATATTTATAAAGTTGTCATAAAGATATAAGCTTTGTGAAAGGATGTAAAATTGCATTGGTCCATGTCTTGTTAATTTCCATCATCATAGCATAATAACTTAAGATGGAAACATTACTTACTTACTTACTTACGCCTGTTACTCCTCGTGAAGGAGCATAGGCCGCTCACCAGAATTCTCCATCCAACCCTGTCCTGGGCAATCCTTTCTAGCTCCGTCCAGTTGTAATTCATCGTTTTCATATCTGGTTCTATTATCCGACGCAATGTGTTCTTTGGCCTTCCTCTTTTTCGCTTCCCTTCAGGATTCCAAGTTAGGGCTTGCCTCGTGATGCAGTTTGACGATTTGCGCAATGTATGTCCTATCCATTTCCATCGTCTTTCCCTAATTTCTTCTTCAGCTGAAAGTTGGTTTGTTCTCTCCCACAGAAGGCTATTGCTGATGGTATCCGGCCAATGGATGTTGAGTATCTTGCGTAGATAGCTATTTATAAATACTTGTACTTTCTTGATTGTGGTTGTTGTAGTTCTCCAAGTTTCAGCTCCATACAGTAGAACTGCCTTGACGTTGGTATTGAAGATCCTCACTTTGATATTGGTTGAAAGTTGTTTTGAGTTCCATATGTTCTTCAATTGTAGGAATGCGACCCTTGCTTTGCCAATCCTTGCCTTTACGTCTGCATCTGAACCTCCTTGTTCATCGATGATGCTTCCTAGGTATGTGAAGGACTCTACATTTTCCAGACTTTCGCCATCAAGAGTGATTGGATTGCTGTTCTCTGCTTTGAATTTGAGGACCTTGGTTTTCCCTTTGTATATGCTGAGGCCTACTGATGCAGAGACTGCTGATACACTGGCTGTCTTCATCTGCATCTGTTCGTGTGCATGCGATCGGAGGGCTAGGTCATCTGCGAAGTCCAAATCGTCTAATTGATTTCTAGCTGTCCATTGAATTCCGTGTTTTCCTTCAGATGTCGAGGTCTTCATAATCCAGTCGACCACCAGAAGAAAGAGGAAGGGAGAGAGTAAACAGCCTTGTCTGACTCCGGTCCTTACTTGGAATGCATCTGTCAGCTGTCCTCCATGCACGACTTTACACTGTAGTCCGTCGTATGAGTTCCGGATAATGTTGACAATCTTCTCAGGAACTCCGTAGTGTCGAAGAAGTTTCCATAATGTCCTCCTATCTACACTGTCGAATGCTTTTCTATAATCAATGAAGTTGATGTATAGTGATGAGTTCCACTCAACTGATTGTTCGACGATGATCCGTAGTGTTGCAATTTGGTCTGTGCATGATCGATCCTTACGGAATCCAGCTTGTTGATCTCGAAGTTGGGCGTCTACTGCATCTTTCATCCGGTTCAGCAACACTCTGTTGAAGACCTTCCCTGATATTGACAGCAGTGTAATGCCTCTATAGTTTTCACATTTGCTCATATCTTTCTTTGGAATCTTGACGAGGTGCCCTTCTTTCCAGTCCATCGGCACTTGTTCCTCCTCCCAAATCTTTTTGAATAGAAGGTAAAGCATGTTTGTAGTTGCTTCGATGTCTGACTTCAGTGCTTCAGATGGTATGTTGTCCGGACCCGCTGCTTTTCCGTTCTTGATTTGTCTGACGGCCATTTTGATTTCTTCCTTCGTTGGTGGGTTGATGTCTATGGGAAGATCTGTGTGTGCCGCTTCGATGTCCGGTGGATTCATTGGAGTCGACCTATTCAGGAGTTCCTCGAAGTACTCTACCCATCTGTTCCGCTGTTGTTGAATTTTGGTGATTGGCTTGCCTTCTTTGTCTTTGACCGGTCTCTCTGGTTTACTGTATTTCCCTGCTAGTTTCTTCGTTGTATCGTGAAGCTGTTTCATATTTCCTTCTCTAGCAGCTTTTTCTGCCGTCGTTGCTAGTTCTTCCACGTATTTCTTCTTGTCGGCTCTAATGCTCTTTTTCACTTGCTTGTTTGCTTCTATGTATTCAGCTTGTGCTTGGACTTTCTCTGCTCGTGTTTGGCTGTTGTTTATTGCTGCCTTCTTGTTCTTCCTTTCTTTGATCTTGTCCAGTGTTTTTGTAGAGATCCATTCCTTATGATGGTGTTTCTTTAGACCCAGAACCTCTTGACATGTTGAAGTTAATGCTTCCTTGATGCCTTTCCAGTTGTCCTCCATACTAGTTTCTTCTTTTTTCAGTAGATCTTGTAAGGCTTGGAACCTGTTGTTGAGAGCTATCTTGAATTCATTGAGTTTGTCAGTATCTCGAAGGAAGGCTGTATTGAACCTTTGTAGTGCTGTTTGCCCACTTGTCCAGTTCTTTTTTAGCTTCAGTTTTAAATTGGCCACAACTAGGTGGTGACCTGAAGCTACATCAGCACCTCTCCTGGCTCTCACATCTTCCATTGTCCTTCGGAATTTTTTGTTGATGCAAATATGATCTATTTGGTTCTCTGTAGTGTGGTCCGGTGAGATCCACGTAGTCTTGTGTATACGCTTGTGTGGAAATATTGTGCTTCCTATAACCAATTTGTTGAATGCACATAGATTTGCAAATCTTTCTCCCAGTCCATGTCGTCCCATAATATCTTCATATCCGGTGTTGTCTATTCCGACTTTGGCATTTAGATCTCCCATCAGAATAGTTAGGTCCTTCCTTGGGCATTTCTCAATGACTGACTGTAGCCGCTCGTAGAACTGATCTTTAATGTTGTCGTTGCTATCATTTGTGGGTGCATAACATTGGATAATATTCATTAAGATCCCCTCCTTCTTTGTTTTGAATGATGCTTTGATGATTCTGGATCCGTGAGATTCCCATCCTACAAGTGCATTTCGTGCTACTTTGGACAGCATAAGAGCGACTCCCTGAGTGTGTGGAGCATTGTCCTCTTCGTGACCGGAGTATAGCAGCATCTATCCCGTAGCTAGCCTTTTCTCTCCAGCTTGGGTCCAGTGGGTTTCGCTGATTCCCAGTACTGCTAAGTTGTATCTCCTCATTTCCATTGCTATTTGACTGGTCTTCCCGGTTTCCCACATTGTTCGAACGTTCCATGTACCTATAAAAATTTTTACTCTGGTTGTTAGAAAGGGCATCGGCCTCGTGGCTTCCGAAGGAACTCGGCTTTCACCATGAAGCGTCATAATTCTTCCAAATGAAGACCTTCTAACTTCCAGGGCAGAGTTTAAATGGTTTGGATTATTTTTTCTGGTAAGCGTTTTTTTAGCGAGTTAGTTTTCTACGGGATGGGGACGCTAACCCCATGCCCAACCCTCCTCCTTTACCCGGGCTTGGGACCGGCAGTAACCCTATGAGAGCTACAGACGGAGTTAAGATTGAAACATTGCCAACTAATATATTTATAAACGAGGTTTATCATTTTTAAGGTGAAGAGTTGATAAGTTAGTTTTTAGCATCATCTGCATGTAATTTCGTTCAATACTTTAAAATAATTTTACAAATTGTTTCCTGTGAAATGTTTCTCGCTTCAGTCAGAAGTATAAACCGGGTTTGCGACCCAAGTAGTTGTAACTGTAAAGGGTTGTGGTTATTTGCTAGTCCGTGTTTAATCACTTCAATAAATTGATAATTGCTTTTTGGCTTAAAATTGACAAAAGTACTCATGTATCTTTTATGAATATTCGTTATGATCCAAAGCGTTTATAGTTTGTCAATATAGACTTATTTTAATGATACATATGTAGCAATAATTTCTATTAGTTCTGTAAAATATTGTTTTTAGGTGATCATATGCTTACCTCTCTTTCTGTGGCACGAGACTGCGAAATGATTGATGAACTAGATCGAGTTGTCATCGTGACAGCTCGTCCACCACCTTGTCCTGTTAATGATTTTGATTCAGATTTGTTAAATAAAAGTCAACCAATCCCTGTACCAAATATTGGATTTTTCACCGAAAAGAATCCAAAGATCATTCAGGATGCTACCAATAAAGGAAATAATAAAAATTTCTCAGATGGTCTTATCAATTCCCTTGTTCAGTTTCACTATGCAGAAGACTTAAACAGACGGGTTACTGAAGTCGCGACAACTAACATTCAACTGAAGCGAAATCTAACCAAAACTGGCAACAGAGAGACATCGAAACAGTCATTTTCCAAGCGATTGAAAACAAGATTTAATTTTGGTCGATTACAAAGTCCCTCAAAAGCTTTTATTGGGTACATAAAGGTTTTATATTTGCTTTGACTATTTAAACTTGCGTATATCAGTAGTGTTGAGTTGAATAAGTCAACATTGGCACTATTAGTGCTCTAAATATAGTTATTCTGCATTCATAGTCTTGCATCCCCGTTAAATAAAGACTTAATCTGCCAAATGTTTTTTGGGAAAACATTATTCCTATTTAACTAGTCAAACTAGATGTAAAATAATTAGTACACTTAATATGCCATTCGTTACTGTTATATATTGTGGACCTAGATTTCCATTCTATTTATTATCCACAATATGTTTACATTTATATTTTGTATATGGAATACTGATATATGATGTTTCATCTTGACAGTGCCCATCCACTACTCTTTTGTAATCTCGTAATACGATGAGAGAGCTATGCAGTCCTTTCTATTTTTGAATGATTGTCTATCCGGAGTTAGTGTCTACTGTGAAACTTCAAATCCAACATTCATTACAACACCCTGTTTTAAAAAATATTGGAAATTGTGCTTTAGAGTTTTGTTGCGAAGTACTGGAAGTTTTCGACGGTGTTCTACTGTGTAATGTTACATGTTGTGAAATGTGTATTTGTTTGAAATAAGTTTACTTCAGGTTATGTATGACTTCCAGGAAATTTGAAATATCCCGCTATTAATGCTACAACAAAACGTATGTATTAAAGGAATGATTAACTGAAAAGTTATTTAAGCCTAACATCATTTATCTTTCTAGCAATACGTATTAGGTAGTAAAGGATTGAAACTCAGTTGTTTCTCATTGTTTGAATATTATTTAGACTGATACTTGACGAATAGAAATAATTAATGAAACCGAGTAGAATTCTGAATTTTGAAAAACATAGTTAAATTATGACAGGGTATAAATGAAACTGTAAACGAACAACGTACTTCTTTTAGATACAAGGGAGATTTGAGACGTGAATCTTCAACAATTTTCTTGAGATTACAGTTCACTAGGAGTTTTCTTATGACTATTCAGAAAGCAGTTTGTTTCTAAGAGAAAAACCATATTGTGATATTTTTATACTTGTAATGATACTGACAGTTTTCCAGGAGCTGTCCATAAATGAGTTTGAATTAATTTAGTTCGCTTCATTTCATTAACATGATGTTCAACAAAATTAGTACTTTGTAGGGAAATCTATGGTTAAACGTGATTCATAAGTTTGGTCATTCTTTTGATATTCATGCATTTCATAATTTGAAAAACAGACTTTGAACATGATAACGTTTTTTTCAACTGGACCTTGTTCGAATTTGACAAAATCAAGTACACAATTGTATGATTTCAAATAATTTTGTTTATATGAATCTTAATTATCTCTAGTTTAGAATATATTATGTAAATGAAACGAGTGAAGTTAACAATTAGAAACTTAATTTTAATTGTTCGGTTTGTCCACATTTCGTCACTATTCGTCATAACAAAAATATTTGAATTGGTGCTTCACAATGTAAATTAAATGTGGTTATGTCGGCCATTTTCTAGATAATTTTAAAACTCTATGTTTAAACTGAATTATCACATAATTAAGTTTTGACAACAGAATTTTATTGTAAAACATTTCACTGAGACTTGATAACTTCTGTTTGAAACAGTTAGACAAGATTCAGGAATACTGCGAACACTAACGGTATTAATGATCAAAGGCAATTTAAAATAGATCGGTTCTATGAATAGTGCGAAGTTTTGAGAAGAACCCAAAAGTACTCGACTGTTAAGTTCATGTTGATAAGATATTATAAAGAAACAGTGTTAAAGGTGGAGGAAATTTTAAGTATCAAAACACTAATTGCTATCACTTAGAATGAGCAGAATGATGAGAAACAATCAACAACCCACCATAATGACATTATTGAATGTTGAGCTGTTCATAATCTGCAGAATGAAAAGTGGTAAACATGCTAGCATTGTTGCAGTCAAACTGCGATCATGTCACCAAAGTTTCTAAATTCGTAGAGATTTTGGTTGTGATTACTACGCTAAATCATACACTTCTGACAAGAATTTGATGAGCCGATTTTCTGATGACAAACTTTAGTTTATTCATCATGTGGGATTTGTATCCAACTACCAGTTTAAACATCAGTGTTTCGACATAATTAAGCATCACCGGATCACCTCAGTAGTCCTTCGATAACATTTACATTCGTATATATAACCATCATGTTATATAGTACTGACTGTAACGTCGGAGAAGTAAGCTGATTTATGGTGAATTGACATGTTGTTTATATCTTTATAAATAAAAATTGAAATCAGCTTGATAAGAATTTGCTTATTCATAACAGTGAGCACGATAGTTGGCTGTTTCTTTCAGCTAGTTATTTAACTTCAGTATTTAAGCCCGAAGATTACTGTATAAACTCCTGTGATAAATTTTTAGTTCATGTTTGTTATTGTTTGCAGATCATTAACAGTAGGTGATGTGATGAACAATATTGATTCTAAGGACATAGAAAACCGTGCAGATTTCGAGAAAGGTTTGTACAAAAGTTCCGCTGAAAACCGCCATTTTCTATCCATTCAAATGATTGATCGACCTGATTTTCACCTGGCAGTGTCAGGCAAGACATGGTCCGTTATTCAGGAGCACTATCCTTGGCTGATACCCAAAGTAAGCTCTTTCTGGGAACTAAATAATATTATGTATCATTGTCTTTTATGTTCCAACTGTTGAGTGTCTGGTTTTAGTTTCTCGCATGTGACCACGGATCTCATGTTAACAGATGTTCAAAATAATGTTTTAGTGACAAAAAATACTGATCACCTAATTAGCTGTAATCTGGTAGTTTTACACCGCTAGTAGCCCTTCTAAAGTTAATGACAGTCCCAGGCCCGAGTAAACAAGGGGGTTTGAGCTTGGGGTCATCAACCCCACCCCGTAGGAATCACCTTGCTAAATGTATATTTATAATTATTTTTGTAAAATATTCCCTATCGAGAGTAGATTTATTATGAGACAATTTTACCTTTGAAAACCAGTTACGGACACTGCAACTTGGTGATTCTGAATTCCATTAGTGGATGAAAAGCATAGTTTGTTCAGTATCGTGTTATGCCACTTGTAGGGAGTTTATTCAACTATACGGTGTCGGTGACTGAGGAAAATATTGAACCACACAAGTAAGAGATCTCTAACTCATTTATAAGAAGTTGGTGGTAAATTATGCCGTAGGCTTTAGAAATGTCAAAATATAGTATTAAAACTAGTTGCTCAATACTACATTCAGCGAAGACTAAGCTAAACAAATTAGGATAACTAGTGATGCAAGATCCAGTTCCACGGGAGTCGTGTCGTGAATGAGTGTTGTGTTTTCCAGCAAATTAGTAGTCAGAAATTTCGTCACATACAATATTTTACATTATTCTTGGGATAACCGGGATAATATTCACAGGCCGATACTCATCTCAGTCAGTTTTGTTTTGAGATTTGTAAGGAAGTATTGTGTGTGATTTCCAACAGTTAGGACTAGTGCCCGTATCCAGAGAAACTATAAACAGTTTTAGAAGAAGCAGTGGAAGTAAACATGTAGAATCCCGTCAAATTGGTGACTTCTTGAGACCTTAAGGGGTTGGAAGAGATACATCTCACTAGTCATGTGTGATTTCTTGTCCAACGTTTTCTAGAGTTTTGTTATTTATTACAACAATATCACTGAAAATGGTTGTGTCGGTTTTCGAATCTTCATAAAAGAACCATTATGGAAAATTCAAGGGAAATCTTGAGTTTGCGATAATCCTACACGTTTATTGAGTAGAATAACTAAGGTTTACTTCTTTTGAACCACCGTTAAATGCTAACTACTCTTCAATATAGGCCTTTGAATTATGACTCGGTTAAAAATTACAGCTAATTGTGCGGGTGAAAAACAATTCGACTTAAAGTAACTTTTCGAAAAAATCTTAATTAGTTGCGTTACTTAACTGTTACGAATAAGGCATTAGTTTTTCGCCGGTGCAATGGAATCGATTTGATAAAATGTCTCCTACATGTACGAGACTATTTCTCGAGAAGTTATTCAAAAATGAACACTTCAACAAGGTTTGCATTAAGCCCGCTTTGCACTTTATAGTCCCGATATTGACGTTTTCTTTTTAAGGAAAGTTTATCAGAAGGGTTAATATTAACGGGAAGAATACAGACAACCATTTTATGATAATTGCTTCCAAGTTCATTTTTAACTTGTACGGATGGGGCAATGGTATCTTGAAATGGAATTAGTTTGAGGATGTTACCATGCCTTTCTGAGGTATGCACCTATCAAAACCAACAGTAGATATCTAGTATTGTTGGGAATTCCTCATTACTCGACGGACTTGTCACCAGTAAACCAGTTTATAATAGGATAGCTGAAGTCGCCTCCATGGCTTCCACATCAACATTCCAAATACAATTATGTATAAGTGCATTAACACTAAGATCATCCACAGTGGCTGAAGTGTTTGAAGCTCCGTATACACAACTCACAAGTAGACTATGGATCGATGTATTGACCGAGATCCAAACCAATCTTGATAAACTGATGAGGATACTGTCTCAGGATATATTAGTTGTTGAAAATTTCAAACTCCTCCTTTAGCCCCTCTAAAGCTAATAGTTGTCCTCTTGAACATACAGGAGGTGAATTTGGCAAGATTTCACCAAATTCATTCCTCAAAAAAGAACCTTACTATAAAAAAACGCCAACCACGCTATCCAGGGTGAGCCATAGACAGCTACCCCCACGTTTTTCGATATAATTTTGAGAAAGTTAATGCATATGATGTAAGTATTTTTTTTATTTAAAATCAGATTTTCAAGTCTTTGTAATTTATCATAATGACTAAGACATTCATTTCAAAGCCGAGTAGTAAATACCGAGTGCATAACACTATGAAAATGTGTGCATTGTTCATGAAATGTTGGATAAACTTATCATCGATAATGTTTAATTTACAACAGATTACAGAAACGATCCACGCAGTTCAGTGAATAAATTTCTTGTCATGACCATTTGATTGATTTAAATTTATGTGGTCTTGATACCATTCTTTCAGCCACCAAAACTGATATTTAGGTCATTAAATTAAATGGAGAATATTTGCTCAATTTTATTTACTGTCATTCAAACTGAAATTATGTTAATTTCTCCGAACGCTATGTTAAAATACTAGTAGTATTTTTTAAATTTTAGCTGGTTGTGAAAGGTACAGTGTTTGCTCGCTTTTCTCCAGAACAAAAAGCACAAGTGGTTGAAGCTCTTCAGTCAGTTGGTTATTTTGTTTCTATGTGTGGAGATGGTGCAAATGATTGTGGAGCTTTAAAAGTAGCTCATGCTGGGATTTCTTTAAGCGAAGCAGAAGCAAGTATTGCTAGTCCTTTTACATCAAAGAAACAAAATATAAGCTGTGTACCCATGCTTATAAGAGAGGGTCGTTGTGCTCTGGTAACAAGCTTCGGAATGTTCAAATTTATGGCTGGTTACTCCCTCATTCAATCGTTTTCCATAATGTTACTTTTTGTGGTAAGTTCATTTACAGTTAAAATATTAAATTTCAACCCCTACTTTGTACTTTAGTCCATAAAACTGTTTCACAGTTTAGATTATCATTAGATAATCCAAAATAGACCAAAGTATAACTTTTATTTTCATTGCTCTCTGATAATGTTCCATTTTTGTTTCAGGTCGGTAGCAATTTTTCTCAGTGGCAATACTTACATTGTGATTTCGTCATAATTACAACGTTAGGTTTAACATGTGAGTTGATATTTATTAAACTTAGTGTACTGTGGTTCTTTTTCATTTTACCTATTTTCTTAAGGCATTCTTAGTAGGCTTAAGAATTTTGTATCCATTATTCTGAAGTGGTAATTATGTTAAGTTTTCGTTTTCTCAAGTGAATGAATTGGTAATAAACCAATCATTCAATGGAAAGATCTCACCTTCTTAATAAAGAAATGACTTTTGTCTTTACCCGTGGCCTAGTTCAGCATTATGGAACTAGTTCGTCAAAATTCACAATTCGTGTTCAAACTTCAACAGTTATAAATGGGATACTTGATTTTAAAAAGTTTCTAAAATGATTGATGTGACTGCACTCATCAATTATATCAATTCAAAAAATCCTAGAATACAAAACATCCTTACATCTAATCTAACATAGTAAAACTAAAAATTTTATATTCAAAATATTCAAGATAGTATGTTTTCAGAGGAAAATCAAGAGATTTCATTTCTGTTCTCGATATCGTTGGCCATTTTCGGAAACTATAATGTGTGCGCTTCTAGTTAATGTTATCCTGTGAACCCTTTCAATTTACTTGCTCGTGTTATGGGAAACACTCTCAAACGAATTTAAACATGCAAATAAACACTCAGCTGATGCGAACCGTTAAATCGGTATTGAGAAGTAAAGTAAACATACCAATCTTATCAAAATTTCTGAGGTCGATTTAAATCCGGAAGTACAGTTGATAAGTTGTTCAATCATTGTTATGAACTTTTTCAGCTTAAAGATTTGTTTTATTCTCTAATACTGGAGTTTGATTCAGCTCCAATCAGCACATACATTTTGTGTTTTCAAATTAAAAGTGTGTTTTTAATAAATATTTATAAAAATTAAGTGATTTGGAGCGAAATACAAAGTTTACATCAAGAATACTTGAAAAGTATCGTCATTTTAATCTTTCGGAATAGCCCTATGTTTTGTTATTAGTAATATCAATAGATTCACAATATATTCACAATATTCTTTATTTTAGTTTGCAATATTTTTTGTACATATGCGCATACACCTTATGTTGTGGTGTGAGGAACCTAACTTTTAAGCTGATGAAAAATAACTTCATGAATCTTGTTGCTGTTTCAACTTATTTGTTTGTAAATAATCACAATGTCATTGAGAATGACCTCAGTGTAAAATAATACAAAAATGTTACAGCATACACTGAACACTAATATCACATATGTCGAAAGTAAAGTTTGTGAAGTTTTTAGAAGAACATCTACATTCGTTATAGCTGTTAGACAGTACATCCATTTTAAAAAAGTTCGGATATTGTCCCAATGTAATTTGTAATAATAAGGCTTATCATTAATTTAAATTACCGTTTCAATCCTCTCCATAATTAATCGATGACCTAGATGGTGTTAAATTTTTTCCAGATGTTAATGACTTTATCATAGGTTTATTGACTTTGCATAAAACTATTATTAAACGTTTCAGGCACCATACCTTTGTGCTTTAGTTGTTCAACCTAATTTGGTTTTAACAATATTAGTTTTAGTGATGTTTACAAAAAATTACATAACAGACTGTTTTCTTAATGTTTTCTAATTCCTGGTTGGATAAGAAAAACAAAGGTTTTTTGGATGAACCCCCTCAATCATTTTGTCAAATAAATATATCTGATTGTGATAATTTAATTCTTTTCAATTGATTGACACATTCAAATAATGCAAAAACTTCGAATGATTTTCAAACTGATCATGTTTGTTGTGTTGAGTAAAGTACAGAATATGTGATCGCAAACGAATATATTGACGAAGGAGCGATTTTTTGTACAGTTCAATCAATAATTGACAATAAATCAACCGATGTTCTACAATCAATTATTTATTTTTCACATGCGTCCCAAGTTGTCGTTAGCAAAACATTTTTTGTTCCAGTATTCAGTCATGCTTCATTTTGACTGCAATTGGTAATTTTGAATACGAAATTTCCACTTTTACGTTCTAAGGAATTCTTACTGCACTAAGTTTGGAAAGCATCCTCTCACACGCTGACCTTGATGTTGTTCGTCCTAAAGTAAAAAATCCTGACAGCGAAATGATTGTTAATAACCAATGTGTTCGCTATCAATACCATCGTTTTCTATATTTACCTATATACTGTGTATATAACATCAAATAACAATCATTTTGTGTTAGGCTATATAAGTTGTTTAGGGTTTGCCTTGTTATGCAATTCGATAATTCTTAAAAGTAAATTCTATCTTGTTCTGCTGTTTTTTCCGTGTGTTTACCATATTGCATGTCATCACTACTGCTGTTTTTTCTCTCATTTGTTTGAATATGTATATTAAACCTGTGCCTTGGCATTGCCAGCTGACTAAAGTTTCCTTGTTTTCTCTTTTTTCAATGTTCTCTGTAATGCCTGCATGGAACTATTCATTACTCCATTTTTGATAGGGTTCAGCAATAACTGACATGTTAAAGTTATTGTCTTTTTAATTTTTCCATTTACTCTGTATAGTGTTTTCCTCTTCGTCTAGTAGGTCTTGTAAACATTGAAGCTTATTACTAAGATCCATCTTGGACTGATTCAGCTTTCTGTCATGGTAAAGAGAGATTGCAATAAACCTTTATTATGCTGCTTCTTCAACTGTCCAACGCTTCTTAGCCTCAGATTTGTCCGACTACCCCCAGGTTCCATCAAAAACTACATCAGATCCTGTCTTTGTTCGTACGCCTTCCATGGATCTTTTTTAATGTTTTATTGATACAGATGTGATCGGGTTGGTTTTCTGTAGTGTTGTTCGGTAAAACTTATATATATATATATATATATATATATATATATATATATATTTGTGGAGAAAAATAATGCAGTATTATTGAAAGTACAAAGATTTACTAGTATGTCAACATTCTTGTTTCTTTCTCTGTGTACATTTCGCTTTATGATGCGTTTGTTCCCGATGTTTTCCACCCTGACCTTGAAGTTTAGTTCCCTCATGATAATAGATAGCTATCAAAAAAGGCATTGACTTCGTCATTTAAAAAAATATTGGCTTCACTAATGAGCTGTTATAACTCTTCTGCATAAAGGGACTTCAACTCTCAGGGCGAAACTAAAATGGTTTAGACGAATTTTTCTGTTTAGCGTTTATTCAGGGACTAAGATTACCAGTCGTGTACCCAACGTCCTTTAACTGGAGTTGGACCGGCAGTAACCCTAGACGGGTTCCAGGCGAAGTTTGACTAATTTAAAGTGGTTTGATATTATTATTACTGACGAGCCGTTATACATAAAAAAGCATACCTTCCTCAAGACATATTTGTTTGATACATGTGAACAGAAAATATTTTTAAGGAGCTACTCACATTTACTTACTCGCACTTCATCATTTTCTTAAAAACTAAATATATCATCTTTAACTCACAGCTGCAAATGGGCTTGCATATTTCAGTAGTTCTAACTGTATTCAGAAGTTTTAGATATGAAGCGTAAGTTTTCTAAACCATTCTTTTGAGTTGATTGTGAAGTCGCGTTGACTAAGTCACATGTATATTTCATATCACACTATAATAACTGTAGAATCCTTCATGCATTGGCTGCAACAATGATCTCTAGTCAAAATATTTTAACCAATTAGCTTGAAATGAATTCTTGCTTGATCTAATATTGAGGTTAACTTTGCAAGTTCCTTAAGTGGGAAAACAGTAGAAATAACTTCGTATCAAATATACTTTTAAACTTCACGTTAAACTTGAACTAATTATCAGCCTTAGAGTTGATTCATTATTTATGAAGAATTTCAATTATATGGTTTGCCCCATGAAACTCAATTGGAAATAGAAAGTATATTTATATTTTTAAGAAAAATCTACTTTTATTCTTTCATTATAAAATAATCTACATATTGACTGCTTTAATTTTTTTCATTTTACGTTAATTATCTTCACTAGTTGGATATACACATGCTTATCTACATCTTTCTGCTGAACCACCTACAATGAGACTTTTGAGCATGGTAACAATGAGTTCATTATTTGGTCAAGTGATATTTAATTTTGTTATTCAGACAGCTGCATTCATATTGATTCGCCTTCAATCTTGGTATGCAATTTCTTTGAATTTTATTCCTAACTGCACGTTGTTAGCGAATTTCATTTGTCACTATTCTTTCGTTAGTTGCTTGCATTTTCATATTTTTACATAAGTTGTAGAAGAAAATGTAAATGCCAGTTAACTGTTGATGTATGCAATACTAGTCCAATACCTTGCTCATGAGTATTCATATTATGAGAAACATTTTGAACATTCATTATCTAAGCTATATTGAAGAACTAAATAAAAATTCAAGTTGACGTTTACATATTTTGATGTATTTGCAAACAGATATTGAATCCATGTAAGTTGGTTGTATGCAGTAGATAAGGTACTTCAGATCTAGATTTGGTGTCGCTTTGTACTTGTTAGTGAAATTCTTAAACCATGAAAAGCACTCTTTTTGTGAACATGATTGCATGACTAACCAACAGGATCAAAGTTTAATTGGAAACTTGCAACTTACAAATGAACGGAAGCAGAGTTTTAACGTTTGATGGAAGAAGTTTATGCATGCATTTTGCCTTTAGTGATCTGCTTTTCCTAAAACTTATGGTGTGATGTATAAACCAAGTACGAAAAAATGTTTTTGAATGTAGTGAA